ATGTTATGTAGTGAATTGTGGTTTGAATGATGTTATGTATTGAATTGTGCTGTGTTTTATGTTATGTAGTGAATTGTGGTTTGAGTGATGTTATGTAGTGAATTGTGCTGTGTGTTATGTTATGTAGTGAATTGTGGTTTGAGTAATGTTATGTATTGAATTGTGCTGTGTGTGATGTTATGTAGTGAATTGTGGTTTGAGTGATGTCATGTATTAAATTGTGCTGTGTGTGATGTTATGTAGTGAATTGTACTTTTTGTGTTGTTAAGTAATGAATAGTGCTTTGTATGATGTTATGAAGTGAAGTGTGCTTTGTGTGATGTTATGCATTGAACTATGCTTTGAGTGATGTTTTTATTAAATTGTGATTTGTGTGATGTTATATATTGCATTGTGTTTTATGTTATGTTATGTATTGAATTGTGTTCTGTCTGATATTATTAATTATGCATGGATCTGTGTTTTGTTGTGCATGGTTATAAATTGAATGGTTTGTTGTTGTTAACTGTGTTGTTATTTTGTATGAGTTTTCATGAGATTTTAGTGTATACTTTAAATTGTTCTTATGTATCATAATGATGTATATATATATATATTTTCTGTTTGGTAATAAATTAATAAAAAGATCCACTTTGTTACATCTTGTGATCCGTTTATTTGGCAATCGCCCATGGCAGTCAGCAGGGTTTAAGAACATCAGTTGTTCGACCTGCTAGTCAAATGCGTTTTGTTAAAATATTTTTTTTCACATTTTTGGTCTTTTGGAAAATGTTGTTTGTGCTGTATTTAGACCCTCTACCAAGAAATTTGTTTTGCATGCACATGTATAAAAATTGCGGTTTTTATCCAACGCAATCATAGGTTTGAACGTTGTTTACAATTTAGACTTGTTTATATTTTTTCGTTTGGGCTTGTATTATATTTGACTTCTGGTTTATATGATCCGTTCATCCTTTTTCGAATCTTTCAAAATTCAATCTATCCTAAATTGAGGTAAATTATATGGCCTTCTAAATACCGTTTCGATTCCTATTATTACTGAACAGACATTAATTGTCGAAATCTGGATATGGTGTACAAATTTTTGCACCTCATGTTTGCGGTATACCATCTTTTCCGCAAGTTTATTGTTTTCTGTTTGGTTATAAATTAATAAAAAGATCCATTTTGTTACATCTTGTGATCCATTTATTTGGCAATCGCCAATGGCAGTTAGCAGGGTTTAAGAACATCAGTTGTTCGACCTGCTAGTAAAATGCGTTTTGTTAAAATATACTTTTTCACTTTTTTGGTCTTTTGGAAAATGTTGTTTGTGCTGTATTTAGACCCCTCTACCAAGAAATTTGTTTTGCATGCATATGTAAAAAAAATTGCGGTTTTTATCCAACACAATCATAGGTTTGAACGTTGTTTTCAATTTAAACTTGTATATATGTAGGACTCTAAAGTGCGATGGGGACGCTAAAACGCGATGGTCACGCTAAAGTGCGATGGCCTACGCTAAAGTGCGATGGTTTGAACACGCTAAAGTGCGTTTTTCCCCAAAAGTATCGACGTTAGCAACGTTCGACAGCATTATGACGAGATTGTTTGTCCAGATTAAGGATTTTTATTACACAAGAAAAGAAAGAAGAGAGAAACAAATGATCACAATCTGGAACTATTTTGGTCGTTGCTGGAAGAGGTTAACTTAATTTGTAAAATTGTAAAAAGAGCTTTAATCAAAACAGTTACTTTCTAATCGAATAATTCTATAAAAAAAAATTACAATATGGTTTGTTATTTCTGTTAAATATTGAATATACTTCAACTAGACAGCAACCTGACGAACAGATGTGTAGTATCATTATAAAATATGATTGCCAATACGACAACTCTCTATCCACGACCTAATGTCATTGATGTATGCAACTTTAGGTATGACCTTTAACGTGGAGCATTGTCTTACACAACATATTGTTTTTATTAAAAAACGACTTCTACTAAATTTCGGATATACTAGCTATACTGCAGTTTAACCATTACACTTTTTGGACAACTATCGTACTTTAAATAAAAATAAGAAGATGTAGTATAAACTATCAATCCAACCCCAAATGTCGTTCATGTATGCAACTAATAATCATACGGCCGTCAACGTAAAGCCTTGGCCCATGCCGCATAACAAGCTATATAGGGTTATGAAATGACCAGTGTAAAACAATTCAAAAGAGAAAGACTACGGCTTGATATATAAATAAAACAATAAACGAAAATGTAATAGGAACTCAGCAACAAACGAAAACCATTGCCTGAACCACATTCCCGTTACACCATCGGACTTTAGCGTGTCATACCATCGCACTTTAGCGTGATATCTGATCGCACTTAAAAAAAACAACCATCGCACTTTAGCGTCTGACACCATCGCACTTTAGCGTAGACCATCGTACTTTAGCGTGACCATCGCACTTTAGAGTACCATCGCACTTTAGAGTCCTACATATATATTATATATATATATATAACGTCTAGATATTAGTCAACGATCTTTTTTAAGAGGGCGCTGGATCTTTACGAGTAACGATACAAGTACACAATAAATAAATTATATAAACGCCTAAAAAGTGTACAAAACAACACCACTATCAAAAAAATGGAAACATTAAATGTAATTATCTATAAATAATTCGGATAACAGCTAGATATCCTTCATCAGTATGATTATGATGTAAAATGAATCATATCAATCTATTCTGATTTGACTATAACAATCTTGAAGTGTATTCAATTAAAACCAAACACAACAACGCTTGTACAATTCTAAAATTTCAAAAATGACGTAGGTTAGGTAATTACAACAGAGAATGCATAAATATGCTACTAACAAAAATAGTAATGTGCGATATGAACTGGTACATTTCTAAAATTTCACAGGTGACGAAAGTTAAGATATTAAAACAAAGACTGCATAGAAATACATTCCCAATGAACAGTACTGACAGATTTGAGATGGTCTAATACTCAAATTTCAAATTTGACGACGGTAAAGTGACTACAGCAGAGGCTGCGTATTTATACATCCCAAAATAAATAGAAGTTGTTCAGTATTATCCCACTTGCCCTCTAACACCAGCTTGAGGTGTATTCCAATCAATGGAGGATAAGGTGATTACAATATATCCCTGCACTCCTAGAGTGGGGGATAATGAAACAAAATATCTGGCAATATAGTTGAAGTCCCCTCTAACACCAGCTTTATAGCCTGTACTCCTAGAGTGGGGTATAATGAAACAAAAAGTCTGTCATTATAATTGAGGTCCCCTCTAACACCAGCTTAATGGCCTGTACTCCTAGAGTGGAGTATAATGAAACAAAAAGTTTGTCATTATAATTGAGGTCCCCTCTAACACCAGCTTAATGGCCTGTACTCCTAGAGTGGAGTATAATGAAACAAAAAGTTTGTCATTATAATTGAGGTCCCCTCTAACACCAGCTTTATGGCCTGTACTCCTAGAGTGGGGTATAATGAAACAAAAAGTTTGTCATTATAATTGAGGTCCCCTCTAACACAAGCTTTATAGCCTGTACTCCTAGAGTGGGTTTGAATGAAACAAAAATTCTGTCATTATAATTGAGGTCCCCTCTAACACCAGCTTTATAGCCTGTACTCCTAGAGTGGGGTTGAATGAAACAAAAAGTCTGTCATTATAATTGAGGTACCCTCTAACACAAGCTTGAGCAGTATTCCAGTCAATGTAGGACAAGGTGATTGTAATATAGCCTGCACTCCTAGAGTGGGGTATAATAAAACAAAATGTCTGGCATTATAATTGAGGTACCCTCTTACACAAGCTTGAGCAGTATTCCAGTCAATGTAGGACAAGGTGATTGTAATATAGCCTGCACTCCTAGAGTGGGGTATAATAAAACAAAATGTCTGGCATTATAATTGAGGTACCCTCTTACACAAGCTTGAGCAGTATTCCAGTCAATGTAGGACAAGGTGATTGTAATATAGCCTGCACTCCTAGAGTGGGGTATAATAAAACAAACAGTCTGGCATTATAATTGAGGTACCCTCTAACACAAGCTTTATGGCCTGCACTCCTAGAGTTGGTTTGAATGAAACAAAAAGTCTGTCATTATAATTGAGGTACCCTCTAACACAAGCTTGAGCAGTATTCCAGTCAATGTAGGACAAGGTGATTGTAATATAGCCTGCACTCCTAGAGTGGGGTATAATAAAACAAAATGTCTGGCATTATAATTGAGGTACCCTCTTACACAAGCTTGAGCAGTATTCCAGTCAATGTAGGACAAGGTGATTGTAATATAGCCTGCACTCCTAGAGTGGGGTATAATAAAACAAAATGTCTGGCATTATAATTGAGGTACCCTCTTACACAAGCTTGAGCAGTATTCCAGTCAATGTAGGACAAGGTGATTGTAATATAGCCTGCACTCCTAGAGTGGGGTATAATAAAACAAACAGTCTGGCATTATAATTGAGGTACCCTCTAACACAAGCTTTATGGCCTGCACTCCTAGAGTTGGTTTGAATGAAACAAAAATTCTGGCATTATAATTGAGGTGTCCTCTAACACCAGCTTTATAGCCTGCACTCATTTATAATTGAGGTACCCTCTTACACAAGCTTGAGCAGTATTCCAGTCAATGTAGGACAAGGTGATTGTAATATAGCCTGCACTCCTAGAGTGGGGTTTAATGAAATAAAAAGTCTGGCATTATAATTGAGGTGCTTTCTAACACCAGCTTGTGTTGACTAGCTAGTGATTGCTGTAGATGAACAATATAGACAACTCGGCCACTGAGGTCCTACTTGAGTGTGTAATAACTCAATAATATTAAATAAAATAATATTAAAGTCTTGCTACAAATTCTAAAATCTGTTACATTTAAAGGAAAAAGGAAAATTGTTATAAACATTTAGTAATTTCCATGATGTGCAAGTATAGGAAAAATAATGGAGAAAAGTCACTTTTATAACAAAGCCATAATAAGAAAATAAGTATTTATTGTCCTGCAGTTTTAATATTTGAAAGTTTGGAAATAATTTGAGATGATGATAAAAAATCTGTGGTTTTGTTATAAATGTCTTGCAGTTCAAACTTAGGTTCTTCATCAATGGCCTGAAATAAAATTAAAAAAATCTTTAAATATATAATATATTTAAAGATCATAAGTAGCATGAAAAAGAATAACAATGAAATAAACATTTAAAGATTAATATAAGTTTGCCATGTTACATCTTAAATGTGAGGCAAAATACCAAAGGAACATTCAAACTTATAAGTCGAAAATAAAATGACAACTCCAGGCTAAAAAAGAAAGAGACCAATAGACAAACAAAAAGTATACAAAACACAACATAAAAAACTAAAGACTGAGCAATAGGAACCCCACCAAAAACTGGGGGTGATGTCAGGTGCTCCCGAATGGTAATCCTGCTCCACATGTGACACCCTTTGTGTTGCTCATGTTAGTACAAACATGGTAACAAGTTCAATTCGGTAGGTCACATTTGTGAAAAGGGGGACCGGATTGTAGTTGACATTTGACATTTGGAAAATATTCGCTATCATCAGTGAAACGGATATTCCATAACGGTCAACCAACTTGTCATGGCGTCCCAAATATTTACGAATGGGATGATTTCAACTTCACTACTTGGTTTAATAGCTTTCTTGTGAGCAACAATCCTCTATCAAGGAAATCATGATAGGAAATATAAGCCCTGGAATATAGTATCAACTGGGAGATATATACTTTGTATGTAGGCACTGATTGTAAGTAAGTAAGTAAGTAATGACTTTATTTAAGGAGGGTGACTCAATTAGCATTCACTAATCTACCTTGAGGCGCTCACTAAGAACAAACAGTACTAATATTACAAAGCTTGCAATTTTGACATATTATGTAGATGCAATATTCATGCTAACTATACATTGTCTGTAGAACAAGAGAAAATTTAATTCATATATATATACATAAAATACAAAATCATTAAAATATATGAGTGAGTTGTTATAAATCATTTACAGTCAAGAAATCTACACATTTTTGTTTAAAAGTGTCCAGATTTTCACAACATTTTATTTCATTTGGTTGTTTATTCCAAAGTATTGAAGAGCTATATGCGAAAGATTTCTCCATTGAATTTGTGTTCGGACACACAACAGCTAAATTATTATTTGCAGATGACCTTAGATTTCTACTATGTAGGTTAACAATTGGACAACAGAGTTCCTTTAAGTAATCAGGTGCTTTATTGTTAAGAATTTTATGAACAAGAATAAGTTTATGATATGAAATTCTAGATTTGAAATTTAACCATTTTAGCTCTATAAATAAATTTATACTAGGTGTTAGTATTGGTGCATCATGTATAATCCTTGCAGCTCTTTTCTGCATTTTAAGAATTTTTTTATATCCATCTTCATAACAATTTCCCCATACTGAGCAACAAAAATCAAATATGGGCAGAATATAAGCATTATCAAACAGATTTCTGCTACTAATATCCAAAAATTTCTTAATTCTATATAGCAGTGCAATATGAGAACTTAAGTTTTTACATACATAGTCAATTTGAAATTTCCAGTCCAAATTTTTGTCAATATATACACCCAAAAGTTTCTGTATTTCAATGGATGTGATTGGGCTATCTTGTTTTTATATATTCAAATCATTTCCTAGCAAAGTCCGTTTCTAATTTGTTCCAATCAACATAGAAGTAGTTTTTAAAGGATTTATAACCATTCTATTGTTCAAACACCAATTATTTATGGTGTTGGCATCGTAATTTAATTTTGTTTCTATCTCTTCCTTATTTGTTCAATATGTATGAGTTGCATCATCAGTATACATATCAATGGCTGTATGAGTGGCTTCTAAAGTCATGTCATTTATGAATAAAACAAACTGAAGGGGACCTAAAATGGACCCTTGGGGAACCCCATATTTGATACATTTAGAATCTGAGGCTGTATTACCAGAGTACACTTTTTGTTTTCTGTTAGACAGGTACGACTCAAACCATTTTATTGAATGATCAGAGACTTTGTATAAATGTAATTTATGGCAGAGAATGAAGTGATTAACCAGATCAAATGCTTTTTTTAGATCTAGAAAGATTGTTCCTACAACATTGCCATCATCAATACATTTAAGCCAGGTGTCAATTAATTTGGTAAGGGCTGTCTGACATGAGTGGTTAGATCGGAATCCAGATTGTGCCTCATGTAATACTTTATATTTTGACAGATAAAGATAAAAATGTTTTGCAACAAGTTTTTCAAATATTTTTGATAAAGTAGGAAGTATTGATATAGGTCTGTAGTTTTCTGGCATGTGTTTATCACCATTTTTAATTATTGGATTTATTTTAGCTAATTTAAGATTTTCTGAGAAAACACCTTCTAGTATACTTAAGTTGATTAAATATGTTATACTTGGGGCTATAGCTGTGTTCTAAGCATTAGAATGACAAACAAATGTGAAAAAGGGGACTAACTCTGTAAATCCATAAGTGAAAATTCAACAATCAAATTTTGGGTTCCCAAAAAAAAAAGGGTAGTTTTGGTGGGGATAAGCACACATTTTTGGTGGAGATTGGCACACAGTCCTCATATGAAAGTTGGTAAAGTTGCTCCCTAATCACTACACTGTGCACATGACACAAAACACAATACCTTCCAGTCTGAGAATCAAAGAGGAGGTCATGAATCATGAAAATGGCAAAAACAGGGTTTTTACAAGAAGTATCAACCTTTTGGGACGTACCATTTGTTAATATTATATAGTATGTGACTCTGTATTCCTCATTATCCAGAAATACAACTAACAAACAACAATTCAAATGTACATTACCATTGCTTTACTATTAGTGAGTTGCCAACATCATTATTATTAAATTTTATTGTAGAAAGGTGTATGATGCTTAGAGAGCAGAGATTTTGAATAGTGTAACTATTATACAATACTTCTCTTACAAATTATAAAATTACGGTAAACAAGATAAAACAAGAGGTTGTCAGAGTGACAGCAAACCGGATTTTTTAACATTTATTTGTGTCCTGACATTTTTCAATATCACAAGGACCATAACTCTCTATTTTTCATCTTGCATAACTGTTTTGACTAAAATCACTGTTTAAGAAATTGAATAGGAATGATTAAGTTTTATTTGATTAGAGACAGTATTAAAAATATATCAATTAAAAAAGGGGGAAGAGAGACAATATTGAAAGAAGATATATATAAAAAGTATAATTTGTAATATTGAAGGACATTTTCAAATTGTAATACTATTGTATATAAATGTGTGTATCTCTATTTTACATGTGTGTATATAATGATTGTCGAATGTATATATAATGTATGATCAATAAAGATAAAAAAAATAACCTCCTGAACAGTAAAAGTGAAAACTGTCAATATTGAACTTTACCTCCATTTTGTCATATATCAGTAACAACATATTAAAATTTGAAAAGGTTTTGTTGACTGGTTCATGAGTTAATGCACGGACGGCAGCCGCCCGCCTGCCGTACATTTCCAAATCAATAACCGATTTTTCCTTCAGTTTCTTATGTAGCATTTTCAGCGTTTGTCCTTTCGTTTTTTTGGGGGGACCATGGCGTTTCTTTCTTCGACAATTGGTTTTTATTTGTCCTTTAAGAATCAACTTACATATTTTATACTATTACTTACACTTTTTCCAATAACAACAACATAAGGATATCCTAATCTATTTGCCTGGGTCAACCTGTTACCAACAGTAAATCTAGTCCTGTTATCAATGACCACTTCCCCACGGAGGTTTGGCACAGTCACTAATTCATCATACAGATTGTTAGCTAGCTCCATGAACTTTTCTTCCATATAACCTTTCTTCAACAAAAAACATTAAGATATAATACCATCCATGGTGAAAATATAATTTACTTATTTCTGTGTATTACTTTTTTTTCGTGGGTACTAAATTTTGGTGGATTGAAGCAACATTGCTTTTTATGGACAATTTAGATTTCATGACTTTGCCAAAGTCTGCATACAAGTCTATAGAAAATTAGCTCTTTGTTGAACTTTCAAATCTGTTGTTTACCTTGCCCATGAAATCCATGAAAACTGGTTACATACCAATGATAAGGAATCCACAGTATTTAGGATCTTTATTCATAGAATAAATGTCAAGCTTACCCTATAACACTACTTTACAAAAAGTCATTGATGAAGAAAATCCTGAGAATAATAGTTTAGGCCAAAAGGAAATTTTAATTGCTAATTTCTTTCTTTTGCCTATTTCTGGATAAGTTATTTCTGGCTATCAGGAGTACTAATTACAACAATAAAAACCCATAGGAACCAGGTAAAGAAGAAGTTAAAAAGCATTGTTCAAATATATTGTTTTAGCAATGACCCTTTCCAATCCTTAAATTTTATATCAATTATCAAATCTTATTAAAATTATCATATTTTTACAATTGGCATATGTTGTTACAATAGACAACTTTCGAGTTCGATGCATTTCTGTCAAAAACTTTGGTTTTAGTGAACATCATCCGTGCGTTTAGGGGCGTCGTCACTTCTGTTCCAATGTTGAGCGAGTGGTTGGAAAACTATAAAGCTATATGGCACGAATTATTCGGCAAATTGAATTCTCATACTTGTCTTTCAGCACTGCTGTCATTAGGGAATTGTGATTAAGTACCTACAGAACAAATATTATTTCTAGTTTATCCTGCATAATAACGATCACTAAGACGCTTGATGAACGTTTATAGTGCAGGGATACAGGCGATCCCCTCTATCTGGTAAATGACGTCATAAAGGCGTGCATAATTGACGAGTTTTTTCCGGTGACGGACAAACTCGAAAGTGGTCTATTGTCATATGATGTAGTATTACAATTGTCATGTGTTGTTACAATTGTCATATGCTGTTACAATTGTCATGTGTTTTTACAATTGTCATGTGTTGTTACAACTGTCATATGATGTTACAATTTTCATATGATGTAGTATTACAATTGTCATGTGTTGTAACAATTGTCATGTGTTGTTTCAATTGTCATGAATGTTACAATTGTCATATGATGTATTACTATAATTTTCATGTGTTGTTACAATTTTCATGTGTTGTTACAATTGTCATATGATGTATTATTACAATGGTCATGTGTTGTTATGACTGTCAAATGTTGTTACAAGTGTCATGTGTTGTTACAACTGTCAAGTGTTGTTGGACACGGAAAGAGAAATAAAGACTTACCATCTGTGGAATGATACATATCTGGTATGGTGATATTATTTTTGGCCATCGTATGGCTTCATCCTCTGATAATACTTCTATACCAGCCTGTAGTATTCTGGTTACTCCTAAACCATAGCATCCCATCTGTGTGACTCTTAAAACAACAATACATAATTAATTTATCTGATAATATTTCTATACCAGCCTGTAGTATTCTGGTTACTCCTAAACCATAACATCCTATCTGTGTTACTCTAAAAACAACATGTCACATTTTGTTACACATATCAAAAGCCAGAAGTCTGTATTTGGTTGCTGTCTATAATAAAAAAAAATGTGTTTGTTGTTTGGTCATGAATCATAGATTATTGATGTTAGAGCCCTTTACAGCTGAATATATGGTAAGGGTTTTGCTCATTGTTGAAGGCCATACAGTTACCTCAGTTGATTAAATCCACATCCTTTGGTGATAGTTGTTTCATTGGAAATTATAGCACATCTCCTTATTTTCATATTAATCAATTCACCTGTTCCTGTAAACATATCTACAACATTTCATACATCATGTGTCAAGTGCTTATAATGAGCAATATATATTGGAATGTGTCAAGTGCTTATAAAGAGCAATATATATTGGAATGTGTCCAGTGCTTATAATGAGCAATATATATATAGGAATGTGTCAAGTGTTTATAATGAGCAATATATATTGGAATGTGTCAAATGCTAAGGGTTTTGCTCATCGCTTATAATGAGCAATATATATTGGAATGTGTCAAGTGCTTTTAATGAGCAATATATATTGGAATGTGTCAAGTGCTTATAATGAGCAATATATATAGGAATGTGTCAAGTGCTTATAATGAGCAATATATATTGGAATGTGTCAAGTGCTTATAATGTGCTTATAATGAGCAATATATATTGGAATGTGTCATGTGCTTATAATGAGCATTATATATTGGAATGTGTCAAGTACTTATAATGAGCAATATATATACTAGTCAAAACATTTACTAAATTTTATCATCGGTATAAGGACATCATTCGTAAATATAACTCAACATGCAGACATCTTATACGTTCGGGTATTTCACATCCAATCTTTTATGGTAATATTCTTTACAAAGCACAAAAATGTCAGTATTCACCCCAAAAGCTAACAAAACCTTTAAACAGACTTATTAAGAAGGGATATAGTTACGATACTGTTGTCAGGTCATTAAAGATTGCATATTTTGGCTTTAATATTGATTCACTTATAGGGTCTTTGCATCGGAATTAAACATATTTATTCTAAAACCAGTTGTTGGCATGACACGGGTTATGTTCTTCTCATAAATTTTATGATGGTATAATACTAAACCCCTAACAGGAGGGATTGTGCCTGATATTCATATGATGAAGACATAATCTTTCAATCAGTTTAATTGAGGTCTGGAGCTGGCATGTCAGTAACTGCTAGTAGTCTGTTGTTATTTATGCATTATTGTCATTTTGTTTATTTTCTTTCGTTTCCTATTCTGACATCGGACTCAGACTTCTCTTAAACTGATTTTTACTGTGCGTACTGTTGTACGTTTGTTTTTTCTACATTGGCTAGAGGTATAGGGGGAGGGTTGAGATCTCAAAAAGCATGTTTAACCCCGCCACATTTTTGCGCCTGTCCCAAGACAGGAGCCTCTGGCCTTTGTTAGTCTTGTATCATTTTTAATTTTAGTTTCTTGTGTATAATTTGGAGTTTAGTATGACGTCCATTATCACTGAACTAGTATACATATTTGTTTAGGGGCCAGCTGAAGGACGCCCTGGGTGCGGGAGTTTCTTGAAGACCCATTGGTGGCCTTCGACTGTTGTCTGCTCTATGGTCGGGTTGTTTTCTCTTTGACACATTCCCCATTTCCATTCTCAATTTTATTGGAATGTGTCAAGTGCTTATAATGAGCAATATATATTGGAATGTGTCATGTGCTTATAACAAGCAATATATATTGGAATGTGTCAAGTGCTTATAATGAGCAATATATATTGGAATGTGTCAAGTGCTTATAATGAGCAATATATATTGGAATGTGTCATGTGCTTATAATGAGCAATATATATTGGAATGTGTCAAGTGCTTATAATGAGCAATATATATTGGAATGTGTCATGTGCTTATAATGAGCAATATATATTGGAATGTATGCATTATGTGCTTTAAATTAACTTGAAATTTTACTATTCACCTGTTTATCTATAGGTAACAGATGAATAGCTATTACCTATTCATAACATTTTACATACTCACATATTTTGGCCATTTTTGTCTTTGTAAGTAGATCCTAAAATTTCTGAATACTTTGTGCCCAATAAAAAGGAATGTCCAACCTGAATAAATAAAAGTAATTTTGAAGGTTTTATAACAACTTTCAATATTTTCACTGATGATACAAAATAACTCAGGTTTGTATTTTTTTACACATCCATGTCACATATCCCTTACGGCCATATATTTTTTGTTGTTAATTTTATCCCAAATATGGATTTAATTAATATGTTTGTATGATATTAGTTTATGGTGTAAGACTGTAATCAAAATGCTGTATTATTTTTCATTTTCTCAGACATATTTCCACCCTATGCTTCAACTAAATAGTCCATATTTATAAACCAATGTTTGTGACTAACACAATAAAATGCTCCGCAGGCACAACTTGATATGACCACAGCGGTCGATTCCTGAAGAGTTGGGGCAAGTAGGGACACTACATTCAAGCTTGATACAGCTCTGGATTTGGATTGTGATTAAATATTTGACACAGCATAGGTTTCTAACACAGAAAGAATATGGTCAAGCTGAAATTTTTTGGACTTTTACTGATTATAATCCAATATCTAAAATCTAAATACACAAATGCAGTTGAGTAAAATCAAACCCAAGTATTTCTATTCGCTTAGTGCCAGCATCAAATTATTAAATTTATTTATTTAAACCTCAAAATAACAAGAAAAAATTGTCCAAGCCAATGTCCCTCCTCAGATCAAAGCAGTGATGACATTAGTGACTAACAATTAGATAAACATTACATCTCATCTTGCTTTTTTTGAAGAATACTGCTGTCTACAGTTTAAGTCATGTGACTCATTTGTAGTCTTGCCGTAATTATAATTTTTTTTTCTTAAACAGCATCTGTCTATCTATATAGAAATGTAGAATGCTAAAATTGGATAAAATTGTCATTTAAGGGCATTAGTCCCCGATAAGTGACTGTTTATGTCAAACTTTGATTTTTATAGAACAGTATTACTAACCTATTTTGCAGGTTCCAACTGTTGTTAATAGTTTTCAAATAGGCAACACTTATAAAATTATTCTTTGTAACAATAATTTCTTATCGGGAGTCCATTGATGGTTTAGTTTATTAACATTTTCTTATGTTGTAATGTTGAACATAATTTATGTTAACAGTTTCTCTCAATCCATAATACATTTTGTTATATAAAGGTATAAAAATAAGACACTTTATATCATTGGCGGGGGAAGGGGGATTATCATTAAAGGGCAATAACTAATAAAGGAGTCTTCTTACTTTGAAAAAATAAATGTTAGGTGGGTTGATCTGGTCATTCTTAATATTTGGACCCCATTTCTTATGGTTTTCCAAATACTTGAGAATTACTTGCATTAAATCCTAATGTTATAATTTTATCAATGATAGCTATCCTGATTGATTAGTGGTTACCCTTTATTAAGTTTATAAATCAGTTCCGTGAAGGAGTATTCTGATTAAGATTGCTGTATATTGCATAAGTTTTAAAATTTTCATAATCTTTAAAACCTCTCAGTGGCAATAGATTTTTTTCTAGTATGCTTTGTCTACATTAACATGTGTTTATAATACCTCTATAGCAGACATTTTATCCAACTCACTTCCACAACTGGGACACTTGTTCTCTCTTACTGAAGGGTCTGTAATAAAATACTGATAAAAATAAACACAAATTCCTTATGAATTGTTTTACATTTGTCATTTCGAGGGCCTTTAATAGCTGACAATGCGGTATAGGCTTTACTCATTGTTAAAGGCCATACTGTGACCTATAGTTGTTAATTTTTGTGCCATTTGGTCTCTTGTGAAGAGTTTTCTCATTGGCAATCATACCACATCTTCTTTTTTTTTATATACACAGCATATATAAACAAAAGAAAAAATATACTCTTGTAATTTTATTAAAGATATCTTGCTTAATAAACTGAAAATGAAATGTAGAATCAATGCTATCAAATATTCAGAAGTATGTATTTTAATGAAACTAAATACTTATCAAGTTTATTACTGAGCTGAAAACTTCAAATTCCTACTGCCTATTTTTTTCAACAATTCAGTTCAATTTTTAAGTTAAAATCATCAAGCAACTTGTTTTATAAAGTTCTTGTTTTTTACAGATCTATCTAGCTGAAAGAAAAATATGTATTATATTTTCTCTAAAAAATAATTCAAGATAGAAGCACTGTATAAGGCATCAGAAGTAGCTAGCAGTTCTATATCTTTGGTACAAATGTACAAATTCTACGAGTGTGAATTGTGAAGCTTGTATTTGTTATGATTTATACTGAAGAATCTCAGATATTTTGTGTCTTTGAAGTGTAATAAAACTTTCTCGTAATATGTAAGAAAAAACAAAGATAAAGTACAAACCTTCAACTTCAATATTTCTTCCATACTGACAGCTATAAAAAAAGGTTACGATATCTATCTTAAAAGTATAAATATTCAAGAAAAACTGAAAAAAGCACTTTTACAATACATGAATTTAAAGTCTGAAAAGATTTGGCAATGAATCTTTAGAATGGAATAAGCTATTAAACAATTTGCAATCAGATTCCAGCATTTATGGTTTTCATGCAATCAAAACAAAAAGAATTTCCTTGACTCAGCGATTTTTTCAGTAAAGGACATGTTGCTTAAATAATAAGTATTTTCCCCAAAAGATAGTGAACCTGTGAAAACACGTGTGTAGACAAATACACATGTAGAAGTCTAGACACACAAATACACATGTGGAAGTCTGAACACACAAATACAAATGTAGAAGTCTGAACACACAAATACACATGTAGAAGTCTGAACACACAAATATACATATGTAGAAGTCTGAACACACAAATACACATGTAGAAGTCTGAACACACAAATACACATGTAGAAGTCTGAACACACAAATACACATGTAGAAGTCTGAACACATAAATAAACATGTAGAAGTCTGGACATACAAATACACATGTAGAAGTCTGGACACACAAATACACACATAGAAGTCTGACAAATAAGCATGTAGAAGTCTGGACACACAAATACACATGTAGAAGTCTGAACACACAAATACACATGTGGAAGTCTGAACACACAAATACACATATAGAAATCTGAACACACAAATACATATGTAGAAGTCTGAACACACAAATACACATGTAGAAGTCTGAACACACAAATACACATGTAGAAGTCTGAACACACAAATACACATGTAGAAGTCTGGACCCACAAATACACACGTAGAAGTCTGACAAATACACATGTAGAAGTCTGGACACACAAATACACATGTAGAAGACTGAACACACAAATACACATGTAGAAGTCTGAACACACAAATACACATGTAGAAGTCTGAACACACAAATACGCATGTAGAAGTCTGGACACACAAATACGCATGTAGAAGTCTGGACACACGAATACACATATAGAAGTCTGAACACACAAATACATATGTAGAAGTCTGGACACACAAATACACATGTAGAAGTCTGAACACACAAATACACATGTACAAATACACATGCAGAAGTCTTGACACACAAATACAATGCAGCACTTCTTGGTGATGGATTTACTGTTACTGCATTTGGTTGTGTGAATCCACAGTGGCACCTTTTGGGGACACTACTTCTAATTGAAACTAAAATGACTTTCCCTTCTCAATTTGTAAATATCTACATTTCTATTACAGAATAACCTCTCCTTTATTTTCAATTATAAATGACCAATCAACCAACATAAACTTACCTATTACAGACTATAATAGTATCTTCTCCAATGTCTGATTGTAGGAGAAATTCATGAGAAAGTTTCCCGCCAATATTTCCTGTTGCACCAATTACTACAAAAAAGTATTATGATGACTTTTATCTTTTTTTATTGCGTTTTGCCTTATATGATAAAAATTATAATATAAAAATAGAAACTTTAGGTAACAAATATGATCAGCAAGGCAATATCTACTAACAAGTCAAATTCTGTAAATATAGTTAGTAGACTGTTACTCTTTATAGGATTGATTGCCCTTAAATGAGCATTGCACTATGATTAGGTGTCTCCTAATATCAATATGAAAACCAAATGGTGGTGAATTTGTGAACTTAAGATGTGCATTTTTACTTTAATATTTTTAGTTGCTGTCTCATTAACTTAATTTCACCAAACTTCAGATTTAATTAGCATCTAATAATTTAAAAGGCACCAATTTTACTGCACCAGATGCACATTTTTACAGTTAATGTCTCTCTAATGATATTTACCTTTTTTAAATTGTAGTCCAAGCCTGTTGAAAATATTTTCATAAACTTGACAAACTTCTTCGTATGTTTTTTTGGCATTCTCCTCTGTTGTGTCAAAGGTATATAAATCTATAAATAGCCCATACATGGTGTAGAACATATAGATAAAGGCAACAGTAGTATACTGGTGTTCAAATACATATGATAGATAATTCTTACATGTTAATCATGTTAATACTTTTAACTAAAAACTACAAGTACTAAATTGTTACAATTGCTGGTCAAACTTCAACGTGACATTTTAGCACGTTTAGTTTTTAGTGATTTTTTGGGTAGTACTTAATATTGTGTGAAATAGAAAATAATTAATTTGGCACTGTCATTAAATTGTCTTATGGAAACCTGATATTTTTTTCAAGTACCAAAAAGTCTTATTAAGTAAATATCATTTTGAAGTAAAGTCATAAATGAATGCATTGAAAACAGCCATATCCATGTCATTTGTTTGAACTATGATGAATAGTTGTCCTATTGGCAATCATACCACATTGCCATATTTTTATATTGACTCATCCATAGATTTTCACATTAAAAGGAAAGGTATTAACCAGATTTTTCTTAATACTAATAAAGAGGCATAGGTTACCACTTAAAATCTATATTACCATTTGGCAACAAATTTTTATTTAAAATGGATTTACAATCCCTAGATATACTCATTTAAGGCAGAGAAAACAAGAATATATCCAAAAGCAACATGCCTCATTCAAATCTTCAGTGTTCAGTGTACCATAAATCTGGGTCAAAATTAAAAAAAAAGTCCACATGATAATGAAGATATGCACTCAGTTTCAAGTCAATGTGGTCATATCTTCATGGTAAATTCCCTTAAGTAAAAACATTAACCTGATACAGAAATTCATGAACAGATTTAATCAACTTGTTCTCTACATTTAAATGTATTAGTTACAAAACTTCAAAGTGGGTGATCTCCCCTTCAGAAAAATTATGAAAGAGTACACCTGTTTCATTTTAGTCGTTTAAGAACATGCTGAGGTTAGACATTTATGTTTATCAACCTCTCAATATTTTTATTTCTTTTAATTAATTATTTCTGAGAGTTTAACAAATTCAAACTTGGTTGGTTTGAAAAAAATTTATGAGCTTATGTTGAATAGCATTTCATATATCAAATGTAAAAATCCAAAAAAATAAATAAAACAGTTTAATATTGTGAGCATGTTATATGGTGAAATATTACCTTTCATTTCAAATTCTCTACTTCTCAAGAGGCCATGCCTAGGATGCATTTCATCTCTAAATTTTCTGGATATCTGTAAAATGTAGATTATACATCATGACTTTTATAATAATAGTCTACATAAAGCCGAAGTCAAATGAAATTCGGTTTTATATCATCCTTAAATCTTCAGTTTTTTTCGTTAATGGGTATTACTGTAATCTATTATAAAAACCTGAATTTCTAATTCAAAGTGACTGATCTTCATGTATGAGTGATTTGTTTTGTTGTTTAAAAAAATCAAGTTCTCTTAACTTTTTATCAAGACCTCCAAGTATCTAATGCCTACAAAATCAATGACAGATTTGAATAACAATAGTTTACTCAACCAGGTATCTAGACTACACATCCTCTTATACCTTCCAATTAATTAACAGGGTTCTTACGAAAGCTGGGGCCTCGGTGGCCGAGTGGTCTAAGTGGTCTAACTACTGCATCACTAGCCTGTCAACACTGAGGTTGTGAGTTCAAATCTGGCATGTGAAGGTGTGCTTGACTTCAATCTGAATTGACCAATGGATTGACAGTTTTCCTACCAGAGGTCGGTAGTTCTCTCTGGGCACTCCGGCTTCCCCCAACAATAAGAAAAACTGATGGCCATGAAATATCACAATAGTGCTGAAAGTGGCTTTAAACAATCAATCAATGAAAGCAAGGATTAACTAAACCAGTTAACTTTACCACAAAGCCCATCTATTGAAAGTGTTCAACAAGACCAATGATTCACTATACAAGATATCTATACCACACAGCCTTTAATATCATCTTATACAATAGAAGATTTTAACATAACCAATTATCTTGACCACTGTGATGATGATAGTCAGGAATTCCTTTAAATTTAAGATAAAATTTCAATTCAGGGTCTAACAGTCATGTAGAATGCCAAATAAGTAAACTCATCATAGATACCAGGATTGAAATTTTATATTTGTGCCAGATGCATTTTGTCTACAAAAGACTCGTCAGTGATGCTCGAATCAAAAATGTTAAAAGGCCAAATAAAGTATGAAAATGAAGAGCATTGAGGACCAAAAATTCCTAAAAGTTTTGCCAAATACAGCTTAGGTAATCTATTCCTGAGGTAGAAAAGCCTTAGTATTTCAAAAATTCAAAGTTGTGAACAGTTAATTTATAATTATGAACTCAAGTCAACACAGAAGTTCTGACTACTGGGCTCCATTTTCTAATTGTCAACTTTTCATTTTTCAGAAGTAACAAACCCTCTGCCCAAGTATATGCTGTTTAAATATCTCAATTGATAATTATGCCTGGATGTTCACACAATACATACATCATTATCTGGGCTGTCCTCCCTAAACCAACAGTTGCTCTGACAGAGTTTACAAGGAAGAATGCCAAAAATCCCCAAAATGGGTAAATTCATCTTTGAAAGGCTAAAACTCCTTAAAGAAGTCCACTGACAATTTCTGCCATGTTGATTTATTTAAGATGATCATTTCTGTTTCCAATACTTTTTCTCTAATACATTTTTGCCCAAAATGCAAAAAAGGGTAAAAATAATCATTGAAGGGTGATATTTTCTATGAGGATTCAAACAACAATTTGGACCATATTGACCTATCATAGTATATTTTTACTTGCTGATTACTTTATTTTTTATTTTTTAAAGTTTCTCAATGTCTGTTGTATTTTCAAGATCTAAGCTAAAAACACAAACTAGAGTCTCTCAAGAGCCTGTGTCGCTCACCTGACTCTACTTTGGTTTTAGAAATCATGTAAAGATAGATAAAAATCATAACAGATACCCAAATAATGATTGAGGCCAAATTTGGTTTAATATTGGTCCCGTTATTTAATAAAATATCCTGGTGGCCATCTTGAACAGTAAATCGGCAACAAAGTTGCAAAACTTGGTCAACACCTCATAAGGAACATTCATGCCAAGTTTGGTTTCATTTCATTCAGTGGTACTCTAAAAGACATTTGTATGTATTTCCCGTAGGGTCCTATGTTAAACTAAGTCCCCCCCCTGGCGGCCATCTTGGATGATGGACTGACTGCAAAGTAACAACACTTGGTCAGCACCTTATAAGGAACATTCATGCCATGTTTGGTTTCATTCAATTCAGTGGTTCTCTAAAAGAAGACATTTGTATATATTTCCCATAAGGTCCTATGTTAAACTAAGTCCCCCACTAGCAGCCATCTTGGATGAAGGACCAACTGCAAAAAAACAAAACTTGGTCAACACCTTATAAGGAACATTCATGCCATGTTTGGTTCCATTCCATTCACTGGTTCTCTAAAAAAAGACATTTGTATGTATTTCCCATAGGGTCCTATGTTAAACTAAGTCCCCCACTAGCGGCCATCTTGGATGAAGGACCAACTGCAAAAAAACAAAACTTGGTCAACACCTTATAAGGAACATTCATGCCATGTTTGGTTCCATTCCATTCACTGGTTCTCTAAAAAAAGACATTTGTATGTATTTCCCATAGGGTCCTATGTTAAACTAAGTCCCCCGCTGGCGGCCATCTTGGATGATGGATTGACTGCAACGTAACAACACTTGGTCAACACCTCATAAGGAACATTCATGCCATGTTTTGTTTCATTCCATTCAGTGGTTCTCTAAAAAAAGACATTTGTATGTATTTCCCTTAGGGTCCTATGTTAAACTAAGTCCTCCGCTGGCGACCATCTTGGATGATGGATTGACTGCAAAGTAACAACACTTGGTCAACACCTCATAAGGAACATTCATGCCATGTTTGGTTCCATTCCATTCCGTGGTTCTCTAAAAGAAGACATTTGTAAGTATTTCCCATAGGGTCCTATGTTAAACTAAGTCCCCCGCTGGCGGCCACCTTGGATGATGGACCAACTGCTAAGTAACAACATTTGGTCAGCACCTCATAAGGAACATTCATGCCATGTTTGGTTTCATTCCATTCAGTGGTTCTCTAAAAGAAGACATTTGTATGTATTTCCCATAGGGTCCTATGTTAAACTAAGTCACCCACTGGCGGCCATCTTGGATGATGGATGGGCTGCAAAGTAACAACACTTGGTCAGCACCTCATAAGAACATTCATGCCATGTTTGGTTTCATTCCATTCAGTGGTTCTGTAAAAGAAGACATTTGTATGTATTTCCCATAGGGTCCTATGTTAAACTAAGTCACTCACTGGCGGCCATCTTGGATGATGGATGGGCTGCAAAGTAACAACACTTGGTCAGCACCTCATAAGAACATTCATGCCATGTTTGGTTTCATTCCATTCACTGGTTCTCTAAAAGAAGACATTTGTATGTATTTCCCATAGGGTCCTATGTTAAACTAAGTCCCCCGCTGTTGGCCATCTTGGCTGATGGACCGACTGCAAAGTAACAACACTTGGTCATTACCTCATAAGGAACATTCATGCCATGTTTTGTTTCATTCCATTCAGTGGTTCTCTAAAAAAAGACATTTGTATGTATTTCCCGTAGGGTCCTATGTTAAACTAAGTCCCCTGCTGGCGGCCATCTTAAATGATAGACTGACTGCAAAGTAACAACACTTGGTCAGCACCTCATAAGGAACATTCATGGCATGTTTTGTTTCATTCCATTCAATGGTTCTCTAAAAGAAGACATTTGTATGTATTTCCCATAGGGTCCTATGTTAAACTAAGTCCCCCGCTGGAGGCTACTTGGATGGTGGATCGGCTACAAAGTAACAACACTTGGTCAGCACCTCATAAGGAACATTCATGCCATGTTTGGTTTCATACAATTCAGTGGTTCTCTAGAAGAGGTTCAAAATGTAAAAAGTTAATGACGACGAAGCCGCCGGATACCGCCGGACGCCAAGTGATGAGAAAAGCTCACTTGGCCCTTTGGGCCAGGTGAGCTAAAAAGGTAAAAGTGTGATAACTCTTCTCGAGAAATTGCTAAAAATTGCTATATCAGAGGTTGGTATATATCTGTAAATTTTGTCATGTTTGTCCATTTGCTGTATACAGTGTCTCTCTTATCTACCATAGTTTCAAGGTAAAATGCATCAAATGTGAAATTTGCTAAAAATTGACATTTCAGGGTAAAGAATTTCAAAAATGAATTGTCTGATATGTCAGAAAATTTCAAGTTAGATAGATCTTGACCTGCTTATAATTAGTCTTGTCAGTTTTGCTCTTTCTGCTCTGATTTTGAGATTTAAGATAAAACTGCATTTTTATAACTATGTTCTACTTTTAGCAGGGGAGGTCAGACAAATTAAAAACCTTGAATACACTTTATAAACTTGACATACCATGGATCATTCATACAAAGTTTGGTGGTTTCAGAGGAGATTTCGAATTTCAGTTTTAACCTAAGACAAACAACAGACTATCAAGCAACATCACCTGTAGACTACATAATGACCCCAAAATCATTAAGGGTCTTAAATTTTCATCCAAAGGCTATTATCATATAATATACTGTTTATGGTAAAACCCTTTTGTCCAGAAAAGCCATATGATATAAAAAAGATAATGTGGTATGATTATATTGCCAATAAGACAACTCCCCACAGGAGACTGAAATGACAAAGAAATTTACAACTATAGGTCATTGTATGGCCTTCAACAATGAACAAAGCCCATACCACATAGTCAGCTATAAAAGGCCCTAAATGACAAATGTAAAACAATTCAAGTATATATGAGCCAAGTATCAGTATACCGCAAGTACATATAATCACCCCCATTTACCTGGTCCACATATCTCATTGTCATTGATATAATGTTTTTCCAGGAGATAAATTCAGTGCATTATGAAAACCAAAACAAACAAACAATAAAGTAATAATACTACAATAGATTACCTGATATAATCTGACTGGTAATTTTTTGTACGATAAATTATTCCCCATCTTTGATATCAAATCGGTCACCAATTCTTCATGTGTCTAAAAATAAAAATTATATATTTTATTTAAATCTTCATTAATCTAAAAAATAAAATAAATATTTTTATAATACTAAAAATATCCTTTTAGCTCAAACTGGAAGATATATAGTTTAGATTGTTAAAGTTGTTCTTGTATTAGTATAAGTACTTTTGATGACAAAAATATCTTCACATTTTGTATGCACTTCTGATAATTAAAAAAAAAATTCCAATTTATATATTTTCTTGAATGCCACATACATGCATATTGTTACCGGGTACTTAGATGAAAAGATGTATCATATCTAATTCAGTGTAGGCTGCCAATTTCATCCTTTGAGCCAGTCCCTTTCTTGTTAATTGGTATATGAACAGCATTTAAATGTACCTTATCATTGCACATATTATATGTCCAACAGCATTATGCCCAATCGATGTATACTTATTTTGGGTGTGAGATAACCTACAATGCAATTTTCCATACTATTTCTTGTTCATGGGGGCATAACTCCAAGATATAAATTTCATAAAAATTCAATAAGAAATGTAGGCTTATGTAATAGTGCATACAATGCAATTTTCTATGAGATACATTTTAAAGGGACATATTTCCTGTACAAATAGTTCATCAGAGCTGGTATTCCACTTCATCCAAGACATGTTGATAATTTAGTTCTTTTATTAGCAAGAATAGTTGAACTGTTATTTTGAAATAATAAATAGAAACAAATGTTTTTGCATGGAAATATTTTTCCTACAGATTGATAATGATAATGTCTACATCAACATCACATCATAATACAACATCAAATATTTTAAAACTTTACAAAAAAGAGGGGAAAAGAAAATTATCATCTTGCAAAAGAAATATAATATATATAGGGGTTTATAACATGAAATAATTACAGATGTACTCAAACAATAAATTAAACCTCACTAACAAAGACCAGATAGGTATTTTACAGATTATCTGGGTCCGGTATATTTTTGTCATTTAAATATTTATCGAATACCTGAATCAGGTATAAACATGTCCTAATTAACTTCCTGGTTGGTCTACTTTTGAAGAAACAGTGGAGGACATTTTAGTTGCCATACACACACCTAATTTAACTTTTGTCACAATAACATCAACAGGTAAATGGTTAGAAAATAAACTACTATATATACTGCAATTTGACTATAAAAAACTATAAATGTTTATTTGTATTGTGTGCTGAAGTTTTCCTGTTAACACTACAAAGCAATTAAAATGCTCATGAGACAAGAATACTTTAATTGTCATTGATTGATTGTTTGAACATCCACTGACAAATATTTCATGCAAGTGCAGACAATTCCAATTGTGCACTTTGAACTTAGAATTAAAAAAAATGCATTGTATTCAGTAAAAATATAAAACCACACTCATTTGGTCAATATTTGAATTGAGTTAACTCCCTTTGTTCATAATGCTAGATTGTGCAGATAAATCATACACTATGTTCAATATATGTATTTCTTCACAACATAGACACAATTTTGTGAACTGAAAATCATGCCTGGGTTGATTTCCTTATAACTTTACACAATTGTTGTGATTGATAAAACAAAGCTCTAATTGATTTTTTTTTTCTGTTTCAGAATTACGAGACTTTAATTGTCAGATTAAAGTTATTTTTTAAATGTTGTACCATAACTTAAGTTTGTATGAATTGATTTACTAACAACTTTCCATAATTGACACAATACTTATATACCTAAGAGTATCCTCTTCCTTGGTTTTTTACAGAGCAATTTTAATTGCTTCTCAGTTTTGCAGTTCTATTTTTCGCTATTTTCTTGGTAAGAAGTGAAAAATGCGAAAAATAAAACATCTGCCAAAATTTCAAAGATTCAAAGGATGAGGACCATACATGAATCTATACCAATCGGTTTATGAACAGTGGCAATTTGTAAAAAGGATGTTATAAACTTTATTTCTAGATGAAGGCTAGTATCAAACTGTTAACTCATTACAGTTGAATTCTAATGAAAGTCATATTGAGCAAGCCGAAATTTTTGATATTGCTATGCAAGCAACAATCATGACAGTAAGGTTTATGACACAATTTTTTAATCCCTTTTGAAATGATTACCATATTATATCTGCTACACAGATTAGCATGATCAAAAGAGCCTTAATCTTGCTAGCCTAATTAATTTAGACAATTCTTCTCTGTTAACCAGTTTTGTGTTTTTGCAATCAAACATGGATGTAGAAGTTTGATTTTACTTTAAAAATTTGTAAGGGACCCCCATCACTCAAATTCAAATTAAAAACGGCACTAATTAAGAATATGCTGCGGATCACGAAATAAAGACGATGTAAAAATTTCACGGTTTAAAGTATTGGCTTGAAATATATATTGAAATATATATGCTTTTCCATTATTGAAGACAGTACAGTTTTATCTGTAGATGTCTTCAATATTGTTTTTAAGTGTTGTTTGTTTTCTGTTGAGCTTAATAATGACCAATTTCTCTCTTTATTAATCACCACTCATTAAGACCTTGTCAAGTAGGTTAAATAACTTAATTATTTTATATGTTTAGGTAATGGCATCCAGTGTAAGGGTACTATGTGGACCTTGTCAAACAAGTTTAATAACTTACTTATTGTATATGTTTAGATAATGGCATCCAGTAAACCTGTACCATGTGGACCTTGTCAAGAAGGAAAAGTAAAGACTAAAGCTGAGTTCTGGTGTTACAGCTGTGAAGAAGGATTATGTTCAACTTGTTCTGTTCATCACAAAAGATCTAAATCATCACGTGATCATAAAACTATTGATATCAAAAATTATAAACCATCCATTCGAGCTATCAAAACAGAATGTGACAAACATGGTCAACAGCTCAACTTGTATTGTCCCAGTCATTTAATGCCTTGCTGTGATGAATGTATTTCCACTAATCATTCAAAATGTATGGGAATAAAAAGTTTAGCTAGTGTGGTGGAGAAAACCAAAATTGACCAATCCACACAATCATTAGAAAAACAAATTAACTCCATCAAACATATTCTGGAAAAAATGGTTGCTAACAAATCTAAAAACATAAGTAGAGGTGAACGAGAATATGAAAGCATACAAGATTTCATTGTTAAAATTCGCAAGGACGTAAATAAACATTTAACCCAACTAGAAAAGAAGTTATGCAATGAGGCAGAAACCATTTTAAATCAAGAAAAATCCAAAGCAACAGATTTAATCACCGAAATTGAAAGAACACAGAAAAACTTAAATAAAATGCAAGACCACTTACATACAGTCATATCACAAACTTCAAAACTCCAATCATTTCTAGGAGTGCATCAGATTGAACAACAAGTACATCAGTATCAACAATATGTGGAAGATCTGGAAAATGATGGCAGGACTAAAGAATTTGACATCAAAATGAAGCAAAATGATGAAATAGAAAAGATACTTAGCAAGTTAGAATTATTAGAATCCCTGGGAGAAGTAACAAGTGTAAAAACAGATATAGACTTGAATAGAGAAACAAGTGTGAGGAGGAAAGCACAAGTACAATCACGACAACAATCTAACATAAACAACATGACAATAAATATTGAAACAAAGAACAAGATCAACATAGAGAAGATCATCAGTGGCATGACTTGTCTAATGGATGGAGGAGTTATAGTACATGATCAATGGTGTAGAAGTTACCTACTTACATCTGATGGCAAACTACAGAAAAAGTTACCTTTACCTGAATCTACCTACAGTGTTACACAGATCAATCAGAACACTATTGCTATATCTTGTTCTAATGAGCAAAAAATTACTTTCTTCAATATGGAGAATGAAACAGTTACCAAATTTATCAAATTAGACAAACAATGCTATGGTGTATCATTCTCCAATGATTCTCTGGCTGTAGGTTTGAGTTCAGATGTTGATGATCGTATTGCTGATGATGATGAAATCCGTATCATAGACTTGGAAGGCAATACACTGATGTCAATACTAAAAGTTTTAAACATTAATGACTTCGTTTACTGTAATGACAGAGTTATCTTTTGTGATGGTAAAGCAGTATACTGTGTTGATAAATCAGGTAAACAGATTTGGCAATATACACAGGATTTATCATCACCAGTGGGCGTTTATAAAGATATGTACGGTAACATTATTGTAAAAGACAATAAACCTCTTAGAATAATAGCAATATCAAAAGATGGGCAGGATAGTAAAGTACTGATTTGTGAAGAGGATGGTCTGATGCCATTTGATAAAATGTGTTTTAAATACAATGACCCTTCAGGTTTTATTTGGGATTACAAAAGCACATTCTTGACAAAATTCCATTTATCATCGGAATAAAATATACACTGGGGATTCAAATGATATAACTTTTCATTGAACCTGCAACCAGTTATATATAAATTATAACTAATTTAGCTAATATAAACATAAAGTAGCAGTAAATTAAGTTCAGTCAAAGACCAAAATTTCCTGAGTACAATAAATATAAGTTAAAAATTACCTCTGATTTTGAACATAAAAACGAAAAATTGGAAATTATTTTTAGAATATGCCAATTTTTTTTCACAAATAAAGTTTAAACTTAAATATGACTTTTCTAATTGGCCAGAAAATTAAATAAAATATATTTTCAAATGGATGATTCTAGCTATGAGAACTTATGAACTTTCAATTTCTGTTCCTACAGTGATTTTCTTCGTAATGAACAAATAATCTGGCATGTTTACTTAATTAAAAATGTACAGAGACATCTAAGAAACCAGCTATTAATAAAGATATCAATTTACACAAAAATGTTGTGCCATGATATCTTCTTTTAAGCACAAAGGTATTGTTTTCTAAATGGACCATAAATCTTACTTAGAAGGGTACCTTATCATATATATGTATCTAACAAATATGAATTACACATTGATTATGGAAAGAAAACAAGTCATATCATCATGTAACCCAAACAAGATTAAACGTCAACTAAATGCATCATTTAACAACTAAAAAACTGTTCATATAAAACATCAAACATTATATCATTGTTCTCATCCAAGCATTTACTAAATCATTAGAGTGCCTAGTAAGGGAATGGGGAAATAGGTCATTGTGATTTGTGTGGTGTTATGTATTGAATTGTGCTTTTAGGGATGTTATGAAGTGAATTATGCTTTGTGTGATGTAATGTATTGAATTATGCTTTGAGTGATATTATGTAGTGAATTGTTCCTAATGTGATGTTATGTGTATTGAATTGTGCTTTGTATGATGTTATGTGTATTGAATTGTGCTTTGTATGATGTTATGTATTGAATTGTTCCTAATGTGATGTTATGTAGTGAATTGTGATTTGTATGATGATATGTAGTGAGTTCTGTTCTGTGTACTGCTATATGTATTGAATAGTGATTTATGTGATGTACTAACAGGTTTTGAAGTGTGCTTTGTGTGAAGTTATGCATGGAAAAGTGCTTTTGTTGATGTTTTGTAGTGATTGTGCACTGCTATATATTGAATTGTGCTTTATGTGATGAACTGTTATGTATTGAATTTTGTTCTGTGTGATGTAACATATTGAATTGTGTTTTGTGTGATGTTATATATTGCATTGTGTTTTGTGTGATGTTATGTATTGCATTGTGTATTGTGTGATGTAACGTATTGAATTGTGTTTTGTGTGATATTATTGATGAATTGTGCTTTGTGCATTGATTTTTGCATTGATCTGTGTTTTGATTGATTGATTGTTGGTTGCTTAACGTCCAGTGGCAAATATTTCATGCATATTCAGGACGAATCTGTGTTTTGTGATGCATGGTTATGAATTGAATGGTTACATATTTTGTATGATTTAATTTTGTTATATAAACTGTATTATTTTGTGTGATAAAGAACTTTCATGAAATTTAGGTGAATACTTTAAATTTTTCTTATGTATCATATAAAAAGTCTAAAGATTGGCGCAACAGTACTAATATAATATTTTTCATGTCTGTTTGTCCCTATTTAACTGGAACTGAATTTGCTGTCACACTGGTGGACATTGTATGTTATATTTAGGACTGGGACAGTGACAATAAATCATACTATTCAATGGGGATTATTTGGAGGAATTTTTAATGGGAGGAGTGAATATATATTTCGAGTTTTTTTTTTTGTGGTAAGAAACTTTAATGTTTTGTATTTTTGTTCCACATTTTTGTACATTTATTCCAATGACTGTAAATACTGAATTTTCTTTCAGGTTGTTAGATAGTCTTGATACTAAAGGAGAAGGTATGAAATTAGTGTTTTGCCCCTTGAATTTTCACATCAAACAGTAAGGTATAAATCTTCAAAAAAAACATCCTTCAGTTGTACATAAGTCTGTCACATTTCAAATCATATGTTTAGTTTTATTCTATTTATATGTAGTTTGGTTTTAATCTTTTTGTATTTAATGTAAATATTGCAAAAAATAAAATGCCAAAATTCAGTTTCATTTAGAGATCTTGTAATTAAAATTTTGATATGAGCCAAGACCTTACCAAAAGAAAAAGATGTTTTACTATACAATCATGATAATGCAGGTAAAAGATAATTTTTTGTAAGGTCTTAGTTCATATCTTATATCATCAAAAATAGATTAAATGGTCATTTCAACATATTTATGACATCATAGTAACACCAAAGTGTCTAGATTATATCATCCTATTCATTTATGTATATAATTTATATGAAATAACATTATTTTAAAAGGTTAAGAGAGTTTTGCTGTTTTTTTGCAATTTCAGGTACCAGACACTGTCTCTAATCATATTCCTCCTTTCTTTGTTTCTTTCTTAAGATTACACAACCCACAAGTCTATTGTTTTAACAAACAATGTGATGTTTGTATAATTTTCTGTGTGGATTTGTGATGATGAATTAGTTGCCATTTTACTTCAGGCAACTGATACTGATAAAGAATATTTATTATCAGAAAAACTTGTTTATTTCTGTATTTATCATCTAAATTTTGTTGTGCTTTTCCTTGGATGTGTATTTACATTTTTAAACATATATTACATATATATATTTTGCACTGTAATCTTTTATTTATAACAATCTGACACCTTTGTATGAATGAGTGTTGATCTTTGTGTAGACATCCAATTATAATATAATACATGTATCTATTTCTCATTAACTTACAAGTTGCAAAAAATTTTTTATTTAAAAGATGATGCATATATATTTATTTCTATTTCCACAACTTAACCTCATCCAAATATTTCAAATTGTCAACATGTCAGTATTAAATATTCCTAATAGTCCTACATACACTTTCCATTTTTTCTACTCTTAAACTATTTTATAAAGGTTCTTACTTTCCAATTTTCTTGTTTCCTGAATTACAGTTTGGATAACTTATCCAAATACTTTGAATTTGTTTTCACAATTTTTTACAGAATAATTCATTGCAAAGAATTTGTTATTCATGTAATTCCCTTTTCTAGATTTAAATACAATATACTAATTTCAGTCTAAAGTACAAATCACAACAGTTATTTCCCCTTTCATTTTGGAGTTCAGTATTTCAGGCTTTTTTTTGAAACATTTTTTTGTCCCCAATATCATTTTAAAACTTATGTATTCATATTAAATCCATTTTTTTCTTATGATTATTAATAAATAGTTTTATTTCATTCCTTGAGTTTGTTAGTTTAAATGGTAAACATAGGGACTTCAACAACACATAAAACCACAAAAAGTATCTTAAAAAAGAGATATCAAGGGGTCTAACCAAAATTCATAAGTTAAATAACACAGTAATGAAATGATTGTTTTGTGTCAAAATCAACATACAGTTAACTCTCGTTATCTCGAAGTCAGCTGGACCAGAGAAATATTTCGGGTTACCAGTAGTTCGAGTCAAACAAATACATTAAGTTTGACGGACCAAGGGAAACAACTCTTGCTAATACCTCCATCACACTAGGACCACGATCCCACTTAGACCTCAGAAATTATGAAAAATTTTGGAAGTCGTAGTAAGATCCTGGTAGTCGTGGTAAGGTTGTAGTAAGGAAATGCCAAGTCTTCATGATCTTGTAGGTCCATGACCAACTTTGAACATGCTCAAAACATTCGTGGCCAAAACTAGTCGTAGCAGAAGCATAGGAAGGTCGTAGTAAGGACGTAGTAAGATCGGGATGGGCGTAATAGCATCGTATTGGAAAAGTTGTGCAATCGGGGAAGCCAATGGAAGATATTTCGCTGAGACCTAACTATGATTTCACTGCAACTATCCTGATTTCACTACGTCTTTATTACACTTCTACTACAATATTGATACGATTTTATACTACGATGAGGAAGACAATAATACACTGCTACTACGCGCTTGTTGTCCTCAGTATGAACTCAATATGATTCTACTACGTTCTAAGCACAATAATTGCACGTCCTCATTCTGTTGATACCTCTACTTTTAGCACCACGACCTCTAATACCCCCATCACACTAGGACCACGATCACGCTACAACCTCAGAAATTGTGAAAAATTTTGGAAGTTGCAGTAAGATCGCGATGGTCGTGGTAAGTTCTTAGTAAGAATGTGCCAAGACTTCATGATCGTGGAGGTCCACGACCAACTTTGAACATGCTCAAAACATTCGTTGCGCATCCATGGCCAAAACTAGTCATAGTAGAAGCGTAGGAAGGTCGTTGTAAGAACGTAGTAAGATCGGGATGGGCGTAGAAGCATCGTATCAGAAACGTGGTGCAATCGGGGATGCCACTGGAAAATATTTTGCTGCTACCTTACTACGATTTCACTGCGACTATCCTAATTTCACTACGTCTTTATTACGCCTCTACTAAGATATTGATATGATTTATACTACGACGAGGAAGACAATAATACGCTGCTACTAGGCGCTTGTCGTCCTCAGTACACAGTACAACCTCACTACGATACTACTACGTTCTAGCCATGATAACTGCACAACCTCATTCTGTTGATACCTAAACTTTTAGCACCACGACCTCTAAGTGTTTTGATACCTTTGGCGGCATGTTTTCTCAAGGAAACAGGTGTGTACAAGGGGAAAGTCAAGATATTTATAGGGACGAAGAGCGTAGTGACAACGTAGTGGAAACGTAATGGAGTTGTGGTTCGATCGTAGTAGGCTTGTATTGAGATCGTAATGCCATCGGAAAGGTCTTGGTAGACGCGTACAGAGATTGTGCAAGTCGTGGTAAGGTCTTATTAGACGTAACAAGAGGGTGACAAGATCGCAAATAGAACGTGTTACTGTCGTAGCAGAATCGTAGCAGGATTTTATCAGGATCATAACAAAGTCATGGTATGAACGTGAAAACTATGAAATATTGAATATTCAAGCCGACCATACCATGATCTTATCTTATTTGTTTATAGATCGTAGTGGGATCTTCCTGGTCTTAGTCTAGTGTGATGGGGGCTTAAGTGTTTTTGATACCTTAAGTAGCATGTTTTTTCAAGGAAACCGGTGTGTACAATGGGATAGTCAAGATGTTTATAGGGACGAAGAGCGTAGTGACAACGTAGTGGAGTCTTGGTTCGATCGTAGTAGACTCGTATTGAGATCGTAATGCGATTGGAAAGGTCTTGGTAGAGCGTACAGAGATCGTGTAAGTCTTGGTAAGGTCTTATTAGAAGTAGCAAGAGCATGATATGATCGTAACTGTGTTACTGTCATAGCGAAATCGTAGCAGGATCTTATCAGGATCATAGCAAGGTGGTGGTATGAACGTGAAAACTATGAAATATTGAATATTCAAGCCGACCATACCACGATCTCACCAAGATCTTCTTTTTTATAGATCGTAGTGGGATCTTCATGGTCTTGGTCTAGTGTGATGGGGGCTTTTTTATAGATCGTAGTGGGATCTTCATGGTCTTGGTCTAGTGTGATGGGGGCTTTAGCTTGGTAAAGCTAAAATAAATACTGATGAATATTGGTAGGGGATCGATATTCTGGTCTGAGATTGATGTATTGGGATGTAATGGTAATTTATTATAATAATAAAATTTAACGATTTTTCGTCTTTTATCTATTTCTTTGTATAGTTACAATTTTTTCATGTGGTTTTTCGCAAAGAGAGTAATTTCAAATCAATCTTGGCCTATTTGAAGTTGACAAAATTGTTTATTCTCGTATACAAGAGATGTTCTTTTCATTTTCTTTTATTTCATTCTTTTTCTGCAAGACAAAATACAAAAAGATTAAAGACGCTGATTGAGTAGTTTCGAGTTGATCACTATTAAAGTCTTAATCCCTACTTTATGCACAATCAAGCTCATTAAAGTATGATTATGGTTAATTGTTTTTTTTAAATTTTAAATCATTTTTCATAAACTATAACAATGCATTCATTAATTATTTAAGATAATTATAGGTAAACACTAATGGGAAAAGAATGTCATAAATCAATACATGTGACTGGAAATTAAATTACACATATATTGTCAAATGAACTCTTCAATCCATTTAAATCCCTGAGGTCATGTTTTGAGAGATGTTTATTTATAGTTCGAGATGAATAATGCAATAAGAATGCTTTTGTTGACCTTGGGACTGTAAATTTGGTTCGAGTCAACCGAAATTTAGACTCATCTAATTTCAACTCATCAGGATTCGGAATGCATATATTTATACTGAACAAAATTCGGGACCACTGGAAAACTTCAACTTATCCGAAATGTCAAGTCAACCGAGTTCAAGATAACGAGGGTCAACTGTACCAACAAAAACATTAAACCAAAAGTAAAAAACGTCTTGGACAGTACTGAAATGACTGTGAGGTCAACACCTTCAACAAATAAAACACAATAAGACATCTTAAAGCATACTGAAATGACAATGTAGGGAAATTATCAGCAATCCAACATTACATTAACCACAAAATATATCTAAAGGAGAACTGAAATGACTGTGGGGTCAACATCAACAACACATAAAACACAATAACAGATCTTAAAGCGTACTGAAATGACAATGCGGGGAAATTGTCAGCAATTTAACAACACATAAACCACAAAAGATCTCTAGAAGAATACTGAAATGACTTCGGGGTCAACATTAACAACTTAATGACACACATAGCAACAAAAGATGTCCAAAAGAGAGAGAAGAAAGCAAGGGGATTATCAAAATCCACAAGTCCAATAACACAGTATTAAATAACTGAATGAAGTCAACATCAGCAATACAACATGATATTTGCCATTGAAAGTATCTCTTTATGTAAAAATAAGAATATATGGTATAATTGTCAATAAGACAATCATCCACCAGAGACCAAATAAGATAGTTGTAAACAATTATAGGTCACAGTACGGCCTTCAACTTAAGCAATAGCTATATCTTCAGGCCTCTACAATAACTTTTTTTTCAACTTGTCCAGTAGGACAAGTACAACCCAAAACTTACTTGTCCGAATGAAATTGTAACTTGTCCAAAAAAAATCTTAATAATAACCTTTTTTGCCTAATAAGTTGATCCAAGGAACAAAATGAATTAAAACAACAGAACAGAATTTGATTTATATCTTTTGAAATACTTTTCAAAAATATGAGTCGAGAACAACTGAATCTAGTCATGTCACAGGGCTTAGGTTCTAGTTTTCATCAATGCCAAAGTCTCATCAGACTCTGCACAAGAGACACCGTCTGATAGGCCTGTCAATGTACACTCATTGGATTTGTATCCTGGTTGTTTAAGTTGAAAAAAGATTATTCAAATGCAATCAATAAAAAAAAGAAAATGATGTATGATTGCCAATGAGACAACTCTCTGCAAGAGACCAAATGACACAGAAATTAACAACTATAGGTCACCGTATTGCAAGTATTGTTTCTTTCTACATATGATCAAATATGATTTTGTGAATTTTATGGTAAATAATTTCTTCTTTTTTATTTAAAAAATATTTTTGTTAAAAAAATTACCGGTATGGTATTTATTATAAAGCAACAGAATAAGGTAGGAAAACGAGGTACTGATTTGTCTTGGTCCCGAAATGTCTCCTGCGTTTCCAAACTGTCTATTAATCATGTCTATTAAATATGTCTCCTACGGTGCCAAACTGTCTATTAAACTTAGGAGCCGAATCGTTTCCGAGCTGGTGAAGAACTGTCTCGTAAAGTTACCTTTTCTACAAAGCGCATCGCTGATTCGGATCAGTAAAACTGGTTTCCGAAAATAGTATGCCTTTTACCCATTAAAAAGTACCTGACAAAGATCCAGTTTAAAATTATCGGTTTGCAAGTAAACATGTCAAATTAATACTTGTTTTTATCTTCTTTTCTTGTTTTTTGTTTATAATTACTTTGTTCATCAAAGTTGGATTAAATTTATTTTCTGCAGAATAATTTTACTTGTCGCGTCGGACAAGCTTGATCTAGCTTTTACTTGTCCGACCTTTTATTCCTCTGGTACCGGACAATCGGACAAGCGTTATTGTCGAGGCCTGATCTTAAAGTAAGTATAAAAGGCCCAGGCTGTGTAGAGCAATTCGAACAAGAAAACAAATGGCATGTTTTTTGTTCAAGATGATTTAACAAAAAAGAAATGTGATAGACAGCAAACAATGACAACCACTGTGTAAATGGTCAAATTTGTCATTTAAGGGAAATAACTCCAATAAGGAGTCCTCTGATAAGTTTTGTCAATAGATAGTACATAGATTTTTTTATTATGAACGTTTTACCCCTGTCAGATTTTCTCTATCTATAATTATTTACAAAATAAGAGACAAAACTTGCATTATCCCCGTATGTTTTATGCTTATAGCCTTGGTGTCCATGTTGGTGGCAGGAGGGTTTATTTGATACATAACTAGATACAGTAAGAATGACTGTGGCCAAGTTTGGTTCCAATTGGCCCCGTAGTTTTAGTAAAGAAGATTTTTGTTGTAATTAACGAAGGAAGAAGGTTGACAAGCATAGCTCATTTGGTCCTTTGGACCAGGTGAGCTAAAAATTACATCTTGAAGAGTATTGAAATGACACTGTGGTGTGAATGTCAGCAACCCAACAACACATACATGCATCCACAAAAAAAACCATCTATTAATGTACTTAAATGATTATTAGGGGTAAAGGTCAGCAACCAAACTATAAGTCTTACAGTACAAAAATGAAAGTGTGGGGTCAACATCAATCATGAACCTAAAATGTTACACATTTAACCACAAAAAAGCAAAAAAGCTATCTTAGAGATAGCTTCTCAAATTAGTATGTTTTCAAATCCATCAGCTAAAACAAAACAAAAAAGACAACTCCAAATAATATGAAAACTAGCACTTTTTTCATCTATATGAATTAAGAATCAAGCTATCAAAATTATTCAAACTCCCAAGTTTATCATTATAAAGTTTGGATCTGTCAAAAGAACTGTGTACTAAAAAACTTAGAGGTCCTAAACAGTAATCTCGTGTGTGTTAATCTCTGAGCCTACTTTCAGTAAATGCATTGCCAAGATTATCATGATAAATTTTGGATCTGTTTAAAGAATGACAAAGGACTTACAGGTCCTAAACAGTAATCTTGTTTGTGTCTGTCTTTCAATCTGAACAATTCAGCACCTGCAGAATCCCATCTGTCTGAAAAAGTTATAACGGAAATTTGAGTTACACAATCCCTAATCAAACATAATTCATGATGTTGACCTAACGTACAACTAATGTATCAGCATAAACTGTCAATTTAAAAATCCTTAACATCCACTAGCAAACGTCAATAAATCATTAATCCATGAAGATTAAAATTTCAAAAATTATTTGACAGGAGCCATTAGGAAACTGCAAATATTTTTGAGATTATTAGTGAAAATTTTATGAAACTAGCATAGTGTAGAATTGAGCTCAAAATATTTTGATGAAAATTATTTGATTTATATAAAAGAGCCTGTGTCGCTCACCTGGGTCTAAGTTCATCTTTAACAATGGTCACTCTCCAAAATTGTAGTCTAGAATATAATTCATGACTAAAATTATTTTTTTTGCTGATCATTTTTGTTGTTTACAGTTTCTCTTTACTATAGTTTTTGCCAAAAGTGAAAAAATAGGTCATCATTGAAGGGCAATAAATCCTATAAGGAGTACACTAACAGTTTCAGCTATGCGACTTGTTTGTAGATCTTGTCTTGCTGATCATTTTTGCTATTTGAAGTTTATCTTTTGCTATAAAAGTTTTAGCTTAAAATGCCAAAAAAAAAAGTAAAAATCCTGGCAATAACCCTTACAAGTTATAGACTTGCATAACTTAAGGCTGATTGTGGCAAAGTTTGAATTTATTTTGCCCAGTAGTTTCAGAGAAGAAGATTTTTATAAAAGTTAACAGAAAATGAAGGACTACAACAGAAAAGGGACACCAAGTGATGACAACAGCTCACACTGGCCCTTTGGTCCAGGTGAGCTAAAAAAGAAATGAGTTTTGTTCATTAACTGTATTGGCACAGGAAAATTCTGAATTTACTTTTAAAACTTACAAACTTTCATAGTTCTGGTTTACAATTACAAATAATTGTGTATATTAAAATCATATATTTTTAAAACGGTTGGTTTTATTAAGAAGGAATAGAAATTTATGACATACTTCAAGAGATATTCTTATACCAAATAATAAACTGTAAATTCAGAAATTTATTATATGTGATTGATGAACAATTTCACAAAACTTTGTTTCCATTTAGTACCTGTTTTCTTCCATAAGCTGGCTAAAGCAAGTGTTGGCATACAAATCTTCTGTGCACCAATAGTGTCCAGTTCTTCATCAATGACCTTTATAAGTTTGTCAAGGACACGTTGACCAAGTGGAAGTAAATGGAAACCTCCAGGATGACAGTTCTGTATTATGTCATTGTAGATCATCAACTAAAATAGTCATAAAACAATAAATTGATTGATTGATTGTTGTTTGCTTGATGTACAGTGGCAAATATTTCATGTAGATTCATGACTTGAACAATTTCTGAAACACCCTCAAAGCACATTGAGTTCAGCCAGTCGTATAGGAAGAGTGTAGGATATAAAGCACACATGTTTTGGCACTGCTGTTATTATTACTTTAAATACTATTTGTTAACATTTAGATTTTATTGTTTTATTTGATAGCTGTTAGTCCATCATTTCCTTTTTTCATGTCCCTTCCCTCTTTGATTATCTTGTGTTACTTCTTGCTTTCCTGTTGAATCAAAACACCTTTTTTTCTACCATAATTTTGGTTCTATTAAGAAAAATTTTCTGTAAATATCTATTTTTAATGAACTATTCCCTTTATACATGTACACGCTGCATAAGTTTGTCAGTCTTTTATCTTTGTACAACAAAATAAACTCTTATGATTTTAAACATATAAATGTATACTTTCCCTAAGGTTTCCATAGCAGGCTTTTTATATGCCATACTGTCATTACAAGTTCTAACATCACTAAATTTCTAATTTGATATTTAATCTAAGAATCCTACTGTTTGTTCCAGTAAAGTACAGAACATAAATTGAGATGAGTTTTGAAGGATAATATATGAATAGCATCTGCACCTCATTACCGTAAAAAAAAATGAAAACAACACTTTATAAATTGCATGCGTCTAAAGTGCTTTTCTGGATTAGACTTCATCAGGAACTGTCAAAGCCAAATACTATAAACCAACTAATTTTTCGCGAGTTTCGCAAGAAGAAAAATAACGCGAATATAAATTGTCGCGTTTGCTTAAAACTTGGATCTAATCTATTTAACTGCTTCAAATATATTTGAAAATCACGAAATTAAATCGCTGTGAAGTGGACTACAAAGTATCCGCGAAAATAAGTTGGTTTACAGTACTTGAAAGCCAATGATGTACTAGAACTGAAACAGTTGACATTACGTCAGTCTGCAGACAAGAGCTGTCAGAATGACAGTGAACCAGATTTTTTAACATTTATTTGCGTCCTGGCATTTTTCAATATCACAAGGACCATAACTCCTGAACGGTGAAAATGAAAATCGTCAATATCAAACTTGACCTCCATTTTGTCATCAGTAACAACATATTAAAATTTGAAAAGCTTTGGTTGAACGGTTCATGACTTAAAGCATGGACACTACTGGAAACACCATTTTTCAATCTTTCAAGAACCATAACTCCTGAACAGTGAAAGTAAAAATTGTCAATATCAAACTTGACCTCCATTTTGTCATCAGCAACAACATATTGAAATTAGAAAAGCTTTGGTTGAACAGTTCATGAGTAAATGCAAGGACACTGTTTGACAGCTGGCCAACCACCGTAAATCCCCAAATCAATAACTGATTTTTCTTTCAAAATCCAGTTAAAAATGGAGCAGGGAATTTTATCTGCAAAAAGGCCTCTTTATAAATATTGACTGACTGGCTAATTAGTTTTTTTTTGTTGTATTTTTTTTATTGGGGGGGGGGGGGGGGGGGGGGCATATTCCAATTATCTTTAGTCTTTAGACAGATGGAGGGTTTCTTTTAACTCAACAATCTGCAATTTAGTGCAATTATATAACAATCCTATTACCTTATGACTTTTGCAGTGTAACTGTGAATCTTGTGGTGGAATTTTCTGTAGATTTTGAAACAGCTGGCTAACATATTTCCTGTGTCTGTACCTTCTAGGACTGTCTGTCAACAGAAGCCAACGTCTTCCTTGTAATACAATACTTCTGAATAACATGGTTGATCTACAAATATACAGAAAACTTTGATATGCTGGTATGATTTAAAGGCTTTAACAAATACAATTTAGACAAGGGATAAGGGAAATAACTCTGTATAAAATCAGTTATCAATTGCAAGGAATTTCACCGATGGTTGTCTTGCTATTTCTTGGAGAATTTGTAAATACCTTGGTTGGATCAAATTAGAAGACATGTGAAATCAAGTTACTAGAGTTGTTACCACTAAGGATGAAGCAATTCTAACCATCATCTGTGATTTTCTTGATATTTGTGTGAATCAATATTTAATATTTGGTCATGTTTTTATTCAAACATGATAATGTAGGACTTGATATATATCACCCCAGGTCCGTTCACCCATGTTCATTTAGATTCTGGTGGACACTTGTCTAATTGACTATCATAACACATATATATACCACATTTGAAATAAATGATATGTAGATTTAACCCATACACCATAAGTCGTTGAGATCTAGTCTTTTGATATGTAGTCCTTGGTCCATAAGAAATAAATGGGGAATGTGTCCATGGGACAGATATGATGCCCCCGCTTGCATATAACGTTATAAAGGGACATAACTCAAGAACTGTAGAAGTGACACTACCCAAATTTGTACCTGATCTGAGTTTTGTGGTAATAAGCATTGTTTACAAGTTTCATAATATTTAGTTGAGGCAAACTTAAGTTAGAGAACAGAAACGAAAAATTCAGCAATTTTTTCCATTTGTAAAGGGGCATAACTCTAGAACGGTAAAAGTGACACCACCAAAATTCAAACTTGATCTGTGTTTTGTGGTAATTAGCATTGTTCATAAGTTTCATAACATTTGGTTGAGGCAAACTAAAGTTAGAGAACAGAAACCAAAAATTCAGCAATTTTTTCCATTTGTAAACGGGCATAACTCTAGAACTGTTTAAGTGACTGCATCAAAATTCAAAATTGATCTGTATTTTGTGGTAATAAGCATTGTGTATAAGTTTCATAATTTCATAACATTTGGTTGAGGCAAACTAAAGTTAGAGAACGGAAACCAACTTTGGGACGTACGGACGGACAAGGGTAAAACTTAATGCCCCCTCCGCTACGGCGGGGGCATAAAAAATTCAAGATCATTTTCTAAATTTTGATTTGCTTGTTATCGTTATCCTTCAGAAACCGTAACAGTTAACATGGTCAACAATAATGGTTTTTGCCAAATAATTGGTTACGACATAGCTTGACTTCAATACCTTTGAGTCAAGTGTTTTAGTTACATTTTATAGGACTTTTCTTTACTTATATATTTAAAATCAGTTTTACTCCTCAACCATACATGTATGTGAAAGACCTGGGTTTTTATTATTTGAGCTCCATGACCTTGACCTTGAATACAGATTCAGGTCTAAGGTTAATTTAGCATTATAGAATTGACCTTTGCTATAACCTTATATTGGTACATGATAACATCGTTTGCACAAGGTTTGAAGGCATATTATCTTGTTTAAGGTCAATGCATATGGGATTTGACATTGAGCAAACTGGAAGTAATTGTATTTGCATTGCTACCTAGCAACCATATATTTTCAGAATCAGTGTAAAGTATGATAGCTGTCTTATGACACAGGGAGTGACCTTCTGTAAACCAGAAGTAGCTAAATACCTCCCTTATTACAGAAAAAAGTACAAAGAAACCAATATTTTTGGATTCAGTGTAAACAATCTATCATATGTCACTGGAGTTGACGTTTTATAAACTAGAAGTGGCTTATTATAACCCTTATTTCAAGCGAAAGTAAATGGAACCAGATTTTTTTTTCAAATCAGAGTTCAGTTACTAACATTAATTATATGACACTGTATGTAATTATATATAGATTAGAGTCAATCATTGTTTCTCTTTTTCATATAAAACTACTGCAAACTTCTTTTTTTTTAATTCATTTTAAGATAATCAATCTTACTAAAAGGGAAGTGACTTTTAAACCAATGTTAAAACTTTTTACATTCAATTTCTTATCAACAAAGTAAATTCAAGAGACTTTCAATGGTTCTCTGAAATATTGGCTTTTAATTTTACAAAAGTTGTTTACAAAAAAGTATGTACCGGTATGCTAAAATTTTGAGTCCTGAATAATTATAATATCTATAAGTTAATCTGAATTAATCATAGGCGGATTGACTAATGCTTTGTAAACTATTTGTGTTATTATTCACATGATTCATATGATGTCTTGTTTATAGGTTCCATCTTGTTTTTGGAGAGAATATATTTAGGCTTTAGTTAGGTTTCTCGTTTGAATTGTTTTACATTTGTCATTTTGGGGCCTTTTATAGCCGACTATGCGGTATGGGCTTTGCTCGTTGTTGAAGGCCGTACGGTGACCTTTAGTTGTTAATTTCTGTGTCATTTGGTCTCTTGTGGAGAGTTGCCTCATTGGCAATCATACCACATCTTCTTATTTTTATATTTGCCTGTTGTCCAATTCCCTTTGATAACTACCAACATGACCAACTAAAACATTTGAAATTGAAATTGAAGTTTACACAAAAGAAGAATTAGTAAAGAACCAAAAAATAAAGAACCCATATCTGCCTGGAATGCAAAAATACTTTCACTCCATATCAAATCTGTAATAAAATTTTGTTTTATATGAACAAAGTCTAAAGTCCAAAGACTAAAGTTTAAAGTCTAAAGTCCAAATTCTATTTCAAGTCTAAAGTCTAAATTCTGCACCAGGAGACGTCAATTCTCTTTCAAGTGGCATCCCTATGTCATCATGTCTGTCTTTATGTGAATTAGTTTCCTTCTTGACCTGCAGAGGTGAATTCAGGTCAGGGGAAACCTGAAATGCCCCTTAAAATCCTAAAAATATCATTTTCTTTTGACATAAAACGCATCAACATTTTTTGGTCTTGCTCCACACACAAAAATTGTGAAGGTGGACCATCATTAACTCTCAAACTTATTATCCATTTCAACAAGTTCTTCTATCATGTCTATTAAAGTATTTTATCCTCTCTTTATCAGAAGTTCTCATTTACTAACTACTTTAATAAAGGATAGGCATATGTCAGACAATGGAAAAAAAATATGCTTAAAATAAAGAATGTTGTTGAAACCACCACCTTGGCTTGCGAGGATAACCTAAGGCATATCTGGATAAAGTTCACCATTTCCTCCCAGTGAAGAGGATCAGTTTCTACAACAGTCATTAAAATTTAAAACGCAACATCATAGGAAAATCTTAAAATAAAGACTACTAAGTGCAATGAAAATTAAACATATACCAATCTACATTAATAAACATGATAACTGAAGCCAAACAGCTAGAGACTAATCTGATAATTTCCATTAATTAATCTTTTATCATGAGTATTTACATGAATGACATAAAAATGTAAAACCAAATACCATTAATAAAAGGATGTATCAATATTAAAAGTGAGAGTGAACAGACCTTGGATGAATGGAAACAAGACCTATGTGTTATCATGGTTAATTTGTCAGTGCCCAGATCAAATGCCTATCTAGCTTTAAACAAAAAAATACTTCCTTAAAAAAGGCTCTGTACATACCAAGATGACACATTGGTAATTTGGACAGTTTGAAGATTGATTGATTGTTGTTTACTTAATGTCTGGTGGCAAACATTTCATGCTTGTTCCGAATGAGTTCAACAAGGAAGGTAATTGCAATGAGCACTGCAAAGTCTGATTCGATCAGGATGTAGGGTGGGAAATTTGGACTTACCCTGGAAAATGAGGATATAACTGGTATATTTGATAAGGAAGAAAATTTTGCCTTGCAATATGCCACCTACAGACCCCTCACAGATGTGTTACAAGGGTTCTTAGTCATCCAAAGGGTGTGAAAGACACTCTCTCTCTACAACAGGCATAATTTTAAATATTAACCTCAACCAAAAATTTTGATCAGTGTGCATGGCTTCATATTTATTCATCCCACAGTCAAATGAACTCCCCACTTAAGCAAGGGTTTTAATGGGAGGTGTTCAAGAATGACCATATTCCATACCACAGTCAACCCCTGGGTGTGACAGTTTGAAGGAAAACATAATGCGACATAAACAGAACATGTCTTTCACACCCTTTGGATGATTAAGACATTCCAACTGGTCTTACATCTACAGTACGTTTATTTGCAGACGACACAATAGTCATGTGATAGTGTATTTGGCAATAAAATCAAATTCCGAAACATCCACATTACAAAAAGATCTTGACAAACTGGCATCGTGGGAAACTATGTGGAAAATGGCATTCCGCCCAGATAAGTGTAATGTAATTTCAGTCACCAGAAATAAAAAACCAATCACATTTAACTACACATTACACAATCACTCATTAGAACATCTAACAACAGCAAAATATCTGGGGGTTACCATCAGTTCAAACCTTAAATGGGATGTGCACATAAACAACATATGCAAGAAAGCTAATAGCACCCTAGGCTTTCTAAGGAGGAACATGAACATAAGCTCAACATCAATTAAAGAGCAAGCATATAAGTCCCTAGTAAGACCATCACTAGAGTATGCTTGCTCTGTTTGGGATCCATACTTACAACAAGACATAGATAGCATTGAAAAAGTTCAAAGGAGGGCTGCGCGTCTTGTTACCAACAAATACAGAAACACCTCAAGCGTTGGTAACATGTTACAACATCTTGAATGGCGCAGCCTCTCTGACAGAAGAAAAGACTCAAGATTGGTAATGCTTTATAAAATTGAACACGAAAAGGTTGCAATACCTAAAAATAATAAATTAATCCCACAAAAAAGACAAACAAGACATTCAAATTCGAACAGCTTCCAAATTCCATCCTGCAAAACACAGTACAGAAAAGAATCCTATTTTCCAAGAACTATTACCGACTGGAACAAACTACCGGACAACATTGTAAATTGCACTTCAGTAGACTCTTTCAAATCTTCAATTTCAAAGCATCAATATTAACTCAACTATTACATCATACTTAATTATACAAAGCATTTTTTAATTTTTTTTCGTATTTTTTAAAGATTGTATATATATCAATCTATGTCTTGTTGTAAGTTTCCTCCTGTGACATAATCTTCAATTTGTTGAAGGCGGTCACTATATGGTAGAATAGAATAGAATAGAATAGAATACACCTTATCGCTATTTGTTCGCCATTAGTGGACATCACAAAAGTTCCCGTAAAATTTTGACGTCATAATAGAAAATATCTGATGCCACAATGGAAAAGTGATTGTTGTATGACGTCAAAAGTTCAAGCGGGACAGATTCTCGGGTCAAGCGGGAATAGCGATAAGGTGTATAGAATGTGGTACTGTCACGGAATAGAAGTTCCTTCATAATATAAGTTCCAAATGGAAACTATATTCTGGAATATTATTTCCACTGGAATAAATATTACAGTAAATGTTCCTAACGGAATAAATGGTATAGAATATTTGTTCCAACAGGAACAGATATTATGACATTGTTTATAACAAAGTTTCCAGTGGAACTTCTGTTAGGCGGAACAAATATACGTTGACAGTACTGTTACACATAATCTTTAATGTGCAGTTGTGTGCTGTCTTAAGACCTTTTGAGAATGTCAGTATAGTTTAACAGGATACAAATGTTCCAACTATTCAAGGATTACGGTGCAAATGTAATGTTAAAAGTGTGTAAACTTTCCCCATGTGGTTACCTCTATTGCTACATTTATGCTAAATTAAGTATTATTGGGATCCGAATTTGTTAACAGACATGGATTTGTTCCTTGTAAAAATGTGCATAATTATTTGTTTAGTTCATGGCTAAAATTTTGCAATTCCCACAGAACATTATATTGTATTTAGTTTACAAATAAACATTGACAAATCTAAACTTATTTTCAATGTTTTATCTAGCCGCAGAAAATCTATAACAATGCACGTTTCTCTCCCCATTCCATGGCTGCTCTTAAAACTGAATTTTAAAGACTTTTTAACACAATCGTTTAACTGGCTAACTATGCAGATAGAAATTTCACAGATATAGCTTATATAGCATGTAATTTTCAGAAACATTTAGACTTTGACTAAAATATCGAGACATTAAAAAGAGGGTAGGTTGGATATAAAAATAAGTTGTTAACCTTAGACTTAGAGTGCCACGGTTTTTTTGGGGTAAACTACCATTGAGTGCCAAGGGATAGGCCCTAGATTTGAAATTTCAACGGAAAATGTCACAAAAGAAGCGTAACAATGCATAACGTCATGCAATTGTTTCTGTATGGAAACAGTTGTTTCGACGGTCATCGTTTGTCAGTTAGACTTTTATTAAGGTAATAGGTACGGAAATGGTATATCTAAACGATGTTTATGAAATATGAAAAGTTGATAAACACATTAGAACAGAAAATATAAAAATAAGGATGCAAGGAAATTTTATAATTCAGCGCAAAGAGCGAATTGAATATTCTATAAAGAATCAGGCAATTTAGAAAAAAATCAAACATTGCCGAAAAAAACCCACCGACATAACCACCCTATTTTAAAGGTACCCTCATCCTGAGTTAGAAATGGAAGGTCTTTCGTTTCTGTGTGTCTGGTAATTCGAGAAATATTTAGATACATTTTGGTTAGAATGATAGAAAATTACAGCAAATTATATCTTGAATTACCAGAACAGGGAAAGGAAAAGAATGTCATGAATGTTATACAGTCAGGGGAATTACTGAAATAAGTGATTTATAAAATCACTTATTTAAGTAACAAATTCGAAATTTTGTCACAAATTGTGATTTTGTAGTTCTACCAAAATTTTAAACATACAGGTTTAGATTATATCTTGTTATTAGTAAAATTGAAAAAATAAACCTTTTGCTTCTCTTAAGTAGCAAGGTTTATGCCTTTGATGCAATCATTTAGCTGTAAATTATATAATTGTGGAAAAAATGCTATAATGATTTTTCCCAGCAGTGGGAGTATTTTTCCTGTAAAATTCAAGGTTTCATCTTACAGATTATGTAATAAAATTTTACTGTTCGCAATCAAAATTTCACTGTTCCAGGGTGTTGAAATTAGTGGGAGTAATTAAAATAATAATACTTAAAGAAGTGATTTTTTGGAAGAAAATAGAAGTATGATACTTAAACAAGTGATTTTCATGTCATTATCCCAGATTCAGTACAAGGTCATCACCTGACATGACCGTTCATCCTATCAACACAGATGTTGGTTTTGATAATTTTAGCAACATGATTAGTCCCTGGATCATTAGTTTTGTATATCTAAAGCTACAATAAAATTAAATCACTTAGTCTAGTGATTTATTTGCACTACTTAAATAGGTGATTATTAAAGAAAGACAACTCTTACTTCCAACATTTGTGGACAAAATGTTACTTGAATCAGTGATTTAGAAATCATTCATTTAGTAAGTCCCCTGACTGTAATATCCATGCACCTTTATACATTCTGAACTTAAATTAATGTAAAGTTGAGCGGGGTTTTGTTTGTCATGTTTTCACCACTGCCTGATTCTTAGGTAGATGGGCACTTAAATAAAAACACTGTAACATGCAGGTGCCTCTTTTGCAGGCACATGTTTCTGTTAAAAAATATACCTTTCTTGAAAATTGGACAAGAATCTTGCAACACAAAATCTAAATCATCAATTCCATGTTTTCTATATGGATGCACTTTTACTATGTTTGCGTCTCATATCCGCAGCAAGTCCATAGAGTGTCAAAGTAATCTGTGACATGACAACAGCAAACAAACTGCTTCTAGATGCCACCACAGCAAAGTCTCTTGAAATATTCAAGTCTTAAGTGACGAACACCTCTAACTAAATCAATTCAACAATATTGTTTTAACCAGTTTTTAATGATACCCAACTTGCCAGAATATTCATCATGTTAAATGTGGGTAGTAGATGGAAGAAGAAGAAGAGCAACGTGAGCAGTAAGGGGGCAAAATAGAAACATGTAGTCAATTTTTTTAAGTGGAATTTTTTTAGCTATCAGTGTTTGAGTTTGAGAGTTTTTGCTCCATGTTGAAGGCCTCACTGTGACTTCCAGATGAAGAACAGCAATAAAAGCACTGTTCCTTTGCCATTTGTTTTTTTCCTGTATGCATGGTTATTTTGTGTCATGAACTCATACACCATTGTCATGATTGTCTTTCTTTTTTTCTAGATCATGCTAGATAGAGGCATAGACAAATTTATGTCTATTGATACAACCTTTTCAACCTCCACAATAGCTTTCCATAGAGAGTTATTGCCCATAAATGATGATTTTTATACACTTTTGAAGTTTTTGAATATTATCTTGAAAACTGTCACAGATGAAGAGAAACTGTGAACTGTAACACTGATTAACAATCAAATTGAGATCAACAAATAGTTTTTTGTGGTCTTTGATATTGTGATGAACTCTTAGTGGAAGTTTGAATTTAGGGGTTTGGGTGGGGCTAGGAAGATTTTGCTAATAATTTGATCCCAATTTTGATTATATTTTAGAACATAACTAACGCAGTCCTAGTACTGAAGAAAAGTAATTTATTCCCCTAAACATTCTCAATGCTCTGGAAAAGCTGTATATTTGAAAACAGGTAATTTGTTTTTTAAAACATTTTTTGATTGCCAAATGGAAAAAAGTAATTATCAAATTGCTATATTTATGCCAGGGAGTAACTTGTTTCAGAAGTTTGACATATTAAAAAAATCAGTATTAAATGATATCCTTTGCACTTTCAATATCCATGATATCCATGCTGTATATATACTGACCCACTGAGGGAATGAAGAACAAAAAATGTTGGTCTTAGTACGTAATATATACGTTCCGGACCATATGAGTACTTGGACCATACACGTTTTATCTGTATACTCAGATGGCCTGTATGGTCGGACGATATGAGTATTATACTCCTTTGGTTATCAACAGGCCAGACCATATAGATATTTTTCCTCTAATTTCTTCTTATTTTCATTTAATAGATCTGTTTTTGCTCCTTATCATACAATATAAAAATGATTTTACTGTAATTCTTATTTGTATTAAGTAAAATTCACTTTAACTCATGGGACACTGACTACCATATATAATCGAATAAGTGAAAATTTCATTTTCAGAATCTCTTAATTTGTGGACACCTTTTTTTCAATGTTAATCATCATTTCATTACCCGGACCAAACAGGTATGGTCGGACCATATGAGTGAATACACATATAGTCATGACCACACATATGGTCATTCCTTGTGTTATATTAAAATAATATTTTCTGAAACATGTCAAAATAGGTTTGTGTGCCTTCATATCTTACTTTTATATTCGTAGATAAATGGATGCTGCCAAGTCTACATTAAATGGTAAAAGAAAACGTGAGGATGAAGATACTAAGGGAGATAATACCAATAAATGTGTTGTCCAGGAGGGATTTTCTTGGTGGACAGGTTTGATGTACGATATGCCAAAATCCATGACAAAACCACAACCTGTAGAGAAAAATTCAAAAAGTTGATGTCTTCTTAGTATTAGGGCTGCATTTTAGATATTTAGTTGTATGTTTGATGTGTTGATTTGAATCTTTTTTTGATTATTTTTTTTACTTTGAGAATTTTTGTAACAAATCATTAAATGCTTTTTATTTCATTCTGTCAATGTATTCCTAACATTACGTAAAGGTCAAAGATCATCTATCTATGCATTTTATACACAAATAGACACACTCATCAATTACAAAGTTTATATTCTACAACATTACAGTCATTTGTATATGACTTGAAAACATAAAGACTTGCTAGTGTTTATTAGATACTTTTTGTCTTTATAAAATACAAACTTATCAACTTGAAAACAAGGACCGCTTGTAAGCAGTAATTAGTACTATTACAATCAGAGGGATGGAAAATATTAATGAGGATCCTTTGCCAGAATGTTCATTTACCATCTCGGGGAAAATTGTTCCAGTGCAACAAGAAAAGGACACACTCATAGCTGTAGATAATGTTGAATTGAATGAACCTGCAATTGAGCTCCCATGTAAGCCTGAGAAACCTTCAGACGCTGACTGTTGTGGATCAGGATGTATTCCATGTGTGTTTGATATCTATGACCAAGAAATCAAAATTTGGGAACGTGAATGTGCAAGACTAAGGAATAAAGCTGTCCCTGGTGAGGATGACTTGGTAAGCAATTTACTTGCTCACAATTGTATATTGGAGAATGAGAATGCAACATAGGATTTATTATATGAAATAATATCTTGGTAATGAGTGCATTTTATGTGAGTTGATTGGCCCATTCACATTCATATTTAAATAAGGAAACCAAAAATAAGTTAATGATATAAATTTTTACTGATGCTAATAGCACTCAAAGCATTAATCCATCTTGTAGACATAGAGTTTCTCTGGTAATGTTTTGGAAGGAATAAGTAAGTGTTGGTTTACACTTGGTTCTGTTGTACTTTGGTTGCATGCTACGTTTTTTCATCATCTCCACTTAAATTATTTGGTTCTGTTGAATCAACAGAAATAATGTATGGAAGGTTCTTTATAAAATTGAGAATGGAAATGGGGAATGTGTCAAAGAGGCAACAACCCGACCATAGAGCAGACAACAGCCGAAGGCCACCAATGGGTCTATATTTCTTTTGGTTAAGACTAATATTTAAGTAGCTAGAGGCTAGTATGATTCCCAATAAGATAACTATTCACTACAGACTACTATTTAAGTAGCTAGAGGCTAGTATGATTCCCAATAAGATAACTATTCACCACAGACTATAGGATATTTAAGTAGCTAGAGGCTAGTATGATTCCCAATAAGATAACTATTCACCACAGACTATAGGATATTTAAGTAGCTAGAGGCTAGTATGATTCCCAATAAGATAACTATTCACCACAGACTATAGGATATTTAAGTAGCTAGAGGCTAGTATGATTCCCAATAAGATAACTATTCACTACAGACTAATATTTAAGTAGCTAGAGGCTAGTATGATTCCCAATAAGATAACTATTCACCACAGACTTAAGGACGTGGATGTAAACTACTGCAGGTTACCGAAGGCCTTCAACAATGAGTACAAAACAATAAATGAAAAGCTATTATGGCATCCAACAGCAATTAAAGTATACTTGTTGGTAAATGCCAATTGTTAGCAGTATATGCAAAATCACATTTTCATCTTTGTTTTGAACTACCTTGCCAATATATGGAATACAATGTCAGTTTATAATTTCAGTTTAAAGAGAAGTCAATGTTATCAGAGTTGGAATACAGAAAATTTACAATATCTAAGGTTTGGCCAGAGACAGGAGATACAAACAGATACAGATTCAAGCTTCCTTTTGACAGAGATCTTGGTTTAAAGATTGGTCAGCACATCATAGTCAGGTTGTGCCTCTATTGCAAATTTAATTTTGAATCCAGTCTTTAGAAGGGTCTCTAATTTTTTTTTTTTTAAATGTTGCAACAACAAAAACTAGAACAAGTGAAACATTACACCTACACTTTTGTTTATAACAGTGCTATTTGCTCAGTAAAATTGCAGTAACCTCATATTAATTTGTGACTTTAACAAGGATTTCTGTAGGGTTTTATTTATGATGTCAATAAAGAATACAGAATCACAGAATTTTTACAACGTCCGCTTCAAATTTAAAAAAATGATGGGTTTTACCCAAAATATTTCATTGTGAGCAATTTGTACTCTGTTTGGCACAGCCTCACATTCTACCTGTTTCTAAGCCTTGTACAAACAATTTTTTTATTTTGAGACAATACATGGTTATTTTGCATGTATCAGAAATATACAATTTCTGTTATTTATGATAAACTCCAGGTTTTTTTTAGCAGAAATGTCATTGTGACATAATAAACCCCAAAAAAATTAATATTTAACAGGCACTTTCCTAGCTCTATCTCCCGTGTTTAAAGAATTCCTAAAAGATACTTTTTATACTGGTATTGTCTCATCATGCCCATCTATTTGTATAGTGTAGCCTTGGTCATAAATATTGTAAACAAGCAACATCAAGCACTTTCTTTCACATTTTTATTCCTATCCTAGACTGTGTGCACAGATTAGTGATTAACTAAAAATATTTTATTTCAGGGGAAGAAGTTTAAATGAAACAATTACAAGACAGTACACACCAATAACTGACATAACCACCTCTGGTCACTTTGATCTTCTAATAAAAGTATGTATGAATATTGTACAGGGTGGTGTTAGGATGAAAGATCAAGTGACAAGTAGGACTGCTGAAAACAGATTTGGAAAAAAAATCACAAAAATTCTGCCTTAACTCTATTGAACCACAGACTCTTACCTATGATTCAGGGTGTCCAGACTTTAATCAAGTAATATTTTACTTCTTACCTTACAGACTTGAGTCACCATTGTAGTAGGGCTATATGACTTTACTCCAGTAATATTTGGCCTGAGACCTTAATAGAAGGCCATTTAGACTTATATCCAGTAATAGTTGCCTGTGTTGTAGGGTATACAGACTTTACTCAGTAAACTTTGGTCTGTTTACATTGTAGTAGGGTGTTAAGACTTCAATCTAGTAATGTTTGACTTGTAACCTTTGTAGTAGGTCGTTTAGACTCTACTTCATTGAACTATGGCCTGTCACCTTTGTGGTACATGTATATAGGGCGTTCAGACTGTACTCCAGTAATATTTGGCCTTTCACCTTTGTAGTAAGGGTTTAGACTTTACTGCAGTAAACTATGGCCTGTCACCTTTGTACAAGGGCATTTAGACTTTACTCCAGTAAACTATGACCTGTCACCTTTGTACAAGGTTGTTTAAACTTTTCTTCAGAAAACTATAACCTGTCACCATTGTAGAATAGCGTTTAAACTTTACTTCAGTAAACTATGGCCTGTAACCTTTGTTAAACTTTACTTCAGTAAACTATGGCCTGTAACCTTTGTAGTAGCCTTGCAACTCTGTAGTAGGTTGTTTAAACTTTACTCCAGTAAACTATGGCCTGTAACCTTTGTAGTAGCCTTGCAACTCTGTAGTTTACTCCAGTTAACTATGGCCTTTAACCTTTGTAGTAGGGTGTTTAAACTTTACTTCAGTAAACTATGACCTGTAACCTTTGTAGTAGGGCCTTTAAACTTTACTTCAGTAAACTATGACCTGTACCTTTGTAGTGGGTTATTTAAACTTTACTCCAGTAAACTATAACCTGACACCTTTGTAGAAGGGCGTTTAAACTTTACTTCAGTAAACTATGGCCTGTAACCTTTGTAGTTGGGCATTCAAACTTTACTTCAGTAAACTATGGCCTGTAACCTTTGTAGTTGGGCATTCAAACTTTACTTCAGTAAACTATGACCTGTAACCTTTGTAGTAGGACCTTTAAACTTTACTCCAGTAAACTATAACCTGACACCTTTGTAGAAGGGCGTTTAAACTTTACTTCAGTAAACTATGGCCTGTAACCTTTGTAGTTGGGCATTCAAACTTTACTTCAGTAAACTATGACCTGTAACCTTTGTAGTAGGACCTTTAAACTTTACTCCAGTAAACTATAACCTGACACCTTTGTAGAAGGGCGTGTAAACTTTACTTCAGTAAACTATGGCCAGTGATATTGTTGTCTTTTTTCAAAACTACCTCTACCGTTTTTTATTGGGAAAAATGCATATTTTTTATGGAAATTGGGAAAATTGTATATTTTATTCTGAACACATCAGCGATTTTTTGCTGACCTTTGCTGTCTTTTTTGCACTGTTGTTTTCATGTATATTTTGGTTGTCAGACATTTTCAACCTAAAAGGTACTTTTCGGAGAGGGGAAAGAAACAGAAGCAATGATGGTACTTAATGCATTGAAAACCACATGTTTTACAAACACCATGATGATTCTGATCAGAAAACCGGATCTCAAAAGTGCTTTCTAATATCAAAATAATAACATGAATACGATATTTCAATCATTCTTCTTCTTCTTCTTCTTTATAATTCAGCACTCCATCAACATACTGATGATAACGTGCCGGGCACTGATTTTACTATGCCGCGCGTGCGTGGGATCTAATTTTTATTTACAGTGAATAATATACAAAAATAAAAATTTAATTTCTTTTTCCTCTGTTTTTGTACTTTACATTTTGGTTAAAACTATATACATTGTAGAATTTATTTAAATGTTTAGATGTTTATTGAGAACAGATATTGGAATCTGTTCTCGGAAACTTTCAAGAGTAGTACATTGAACTGCAGTTACTGGGAGAAGGTTCCATTGTAAGATTGTTCTTGGGTAGAATGAGTACTTGTATGAGTCTTTAGTGGTTTGTATGGGTCTGAAAGAATAAATATGTGAATGTTGTCGTGTTCTTGTATCGGATTGTGTGAGTAGATCTGTCGGGTATATGGCTACAAGATGATGTATGATTTTGTAGAAGAAGATGATGCGTGTTCTTATCCGCCTTTTCTCAAGAGTTGCCCAATTTAGTGTTTGCAGCATTTCAGTGACTGAGCTGGTGTTATGGTATCTGTTGCATGTGTACCTTGCTGCTCTGCGCTGGACCATCTCAAGTTGGTGTGTTTGTGATTTGGTATGTGGGTCCCAGACGCAGCTGCTGTATTCTAGCTTTGGTCTTACTAGTGCTATGTATGCTTTTTCTTTAACTGTTTTTGAATTTACCTTTAAATTTCTTTTAATGAAGTTCAGCTTTTGTGTGGCTGCAGCTGTGATGTTGTTTACATGCTTGTTCCATTTTAGGTCAGTTTGTATAGTAATGCCCAGATATTTTGTGGATGTTTCTTTTTGCAGTATATGTTGGTGGAGAGTATAGTCAAATTTTAATGGGTTTTTCTTGGTTGTTATCTGGAGGACTGAGCACTTGTCTGGATGGAATGACATGAGCCAGTCCTTCTCCCATTTTGCTGCTGATGTAAGGTCCTCTTGCAGTTTTTGTGTGTCTTCTTTGTTTCGTATTGTTTTATAAATTATACTGTCATCTGCAAATAATCTTAGGGTGCTGTGTTTGATGTATTCATTAAAGTCGTTGATATACACAAGGAACAGGATAGGGCCCAAAACTGTTCCTTGGGGAACACCAGATGTTACGTTAATTTTGTCTGACTGAACACCATCAATAATGACTGTTTGTGTGCGAGATGTGAGGAAATCTTCTATCCATTTTAAGGTGTTGTGTTCTATGCTATAATATTTCAGTTTGTATAGAAGTCTTTTGTGAGGAACTTTGTCAAATGCTTTGGCAAAGTCCATCACAATTATGTCAGTTTGAATGTTATTGTTGTTATTTTTTGCTAGTTCTTGGATGAATGATACTAGTTGAGTTTCACATGATCTAGATGCTCGGAATCCGTGTTGAAGGTCGTACAAGATTTTGTTATTTTCTAGGTGGTCCATCATACTACTGGCTATAATGTGTTCCATGATCTTACATAGTATACATGTGAGTGATATTGGTCTATAGTTTATTGCGTTATGTTTATCACCTTTTTTAAAAACAGGACAGACATTTGCATGTTTCCAATCTTTTGGGATTTTTCCTGTGTCAAGTGATTTTTGAAAGATGTAGGTGATTGCAGTTGAAATGTCACTACTAAGTTCTTTAAGTACTGTTCCGCAAATTTGATCTGGACCAGTTGCTTTATTAGGATTGATCTTGTCCAGTAATTTTATTACACCCTTCTTGGAAATGGTGATGTTATTCATTTTTGGATAGTTTGATTTCCCTTTATCCGGAATAGGTTCACTTGTTGTTTCTTCGGAAAATGCTTTTTTAAATTGACTATTTAGGATGTTAGTTTTGTCAGATGTGTTATCAGTTAGTTTACCATCTTTTCTAAGTGCAGCAATGCCTGTATTGTCATTTTTCATACTTTTGATGTATGTAAACAAGTTCTTAGGTTGTTTTTTTCTGATGTTGTCGTCTGGTTCTTCTACTGGTAGGTCAAATATCATTTTTTCGATGTAATTCCAGTAGGCATTACGCATTTCTTTTTGTAATGTTCTTTTTAAGTTTTTGTATTTTTTCATTTGATCTGGACTGTTTTTGCTCTTTTTATGTAGTCTTTTAACTTTGTTTATCATGATTTTTAAGGTGTTATCAACCCAGGGTAGTTTTTTCTTGTTTGTGATTGTCTTCTGGGGGATGTTTTTCTTGACTGATTGAAGTAGCCTTCCTGTGAATGTATTCCATAGATCATCGGTAGATGAACTATGATAATGACCTTTGATTTCTTGTGTGAGTTTGTTCACATCTTGTTTGATGTTTTCCCAGTTAGCTTTTCTATACTGGTAAGTTTTTCTTGTCATTTTCTTGTTACGTTTTAGAGATAGTGCACATTCTGCATAGACGATATCATGGTCTGCATTTCCGATAGGAGGCATAGTTTCCAATTTGTTCACTATGCTTGGTATGTTGGTGAAAATCATTACTACCAATGACATCACTGTTTTGGGAAAATGTAAAACTTTTTGGGAGGAATTTTAAGCCACTTTTTTTAGTAATTTTCTCTAGGGGAAAAAGCCGAATTTCGGCTGTAATTTGAGGCAAACAATATCACTGATGGCCTGTAACCTTTGTAGTTGGGCATTCAAACTTTACTTCTGTAAACTATGGCCTGTAACCTTTGTAGTACATGTAGTAGCCTTGCAACTCTGTAGTAGATTGTTTAAACTTTACTTCAGTAGACTATGACCTGTCACCTTTGTAGAAGGGTGTTCAGACTTTACTTCAGTAAACTATGGCCTGTAACCTTTGTAGTAGCCTTGCAACTTTAAGTTATGAAAAGTATGTGAAAAACTAACTTGACCTATATTTTTTTTATCCATTACATTGTTTTCTAGTTTCATAAGATTTGGTCAAGTGATATTTCAATTATCATCCAAAAAATAATTAAAAACAAATTTAATTTATTCATAATCTATGACATTGTTTTTCAGTTTCAAAAGATTTAATCAAGTGGTAATTTAATAATCATCCAGAAACCAAAGAAAAAACTATTTTTTTAAAGATATCTTATGGGCATAACCCTTGACCTGTATTTTATGGTCCATTGTTGTTAAGTTTCAAAAGATTTTACCAAGCAGGATAATTATCCTCAAGAATCAGAAAAAAAAACTTTTAAGGTTATTAAGGGACACAACTCTTATATGGTAAACATCAAAACCATCTAAAGCAAACTTGACCTATATTTTTAAGATCCATTGTGCAAAAGAGATTAGGTCAATCAGTACTTTAATTATCATATGGAAATCAAAGTTTTGATGAATGATTGGACAGAAGGATGGAAGAACAGACATCTTCATCACTATATTCACCCCTCTGTGAGGCATCAAAAACACATCACCTTAAAACACTATGCAATTGTTGCTCTTACCATTGTTTCTAAAGTTTCACAATTTGAGCATAACAGTAAATATGCTTCTTCATTCAAGAAATTTCAAGATTATGAAAGAAAAATTCTGCACTGAAAGATATTTAAAAAAAATTTAAATTCTTTCTTCTGACTAAGTCTTTTTTTTTGAGAAGCATAGAGGTGTATTGTATGCATGCTTTCAATATTCAATCTATTCATAATGTTTATCATTTCAAATAAAACCTAAATAAAAGTATTGAGTAAAACCTGTCAAAATAGTTTAACTTTTTTTGTAGAATCTTTATTTTCAACCAAGGTCATAATAAAGCCATTTGAGCATTTTAGAATACACCTAATCGCTATTTATTCCATTCCGGATAAGTTCTAAAATTACACAACTTTTTCATCCAGTTGAAGCTATCTGGGGCCCTGTTTAAACAATGCACCATGCATGATACTTTTTTAATGAGATCTGTTTAAAACATCGTTAATACTTCAAACAAAATATTTTTTGACTATAATTTGAGTTTCGAAAAAGTGGATCATAATCTATCAAAGTTTCGTATTGATCGCTTTCTAAATTTTTCCCTCCCTCAGCTCGTTACTGATGACCTTTGTTGTTTACCTGTTCAAGGCCTGTTGACCCAAACAGGAAGTTGTCTAAATGACTGTTTTTTCTGGATTGGACTAAATAGCGATAAGGTGTATTAGATTTATCAAGCTCACTAAATCTTGTATGACAATACAGAAGTACGTTAAAGCTATTTTGTTTACCAATTATCTCAAATTTGTTTGTCCTGTGGAAACTAGGAGTAGATCAAGTAAATAGTTGAAAGTAATTCTGTTATGGCAGAATTGTATAAATTTGAAATACTAAATATTCCAGATTTACAGAGATGGAAAGATGTCAAAGATAATCAGCCACTGGAAAGTTGGAGATGAGGTAGAAATTAGAGGACCTTTTGGATCACTGGAATATGTTCCTGGAAAAGTAAATACACTTTAAAAAAAATTATAATATAAAAATAAGGAAATGTGGTATAATTTCCGATTAGACACCTATCCACCAGAGATCAAATGACATAGAAGTAAGCAATGTTTGTTCTTACTATAATTGATTGATTGATGTTTGTTTGATGTTCAGTGACAAATATTTCATGTATATTAAACTGATTATACATTTGAATATTGTGAAAGTTAGTGGGAGGATAGCATGGAGATTTGACTCTTAGTAAACACATTGTTGCATTTTCTGTAGGATAAAACACAGATTGGTGTACCCATCAAAGTCATTGAAAGGCTTTAACATGCTGAGAACATAATATTCTCCAGTTACATTGCAGTGAACATAGTTGCATGTTAGGTGTATTGTACAATTTCAATCTTATTCCCCTTCAGCAAGGGCCCCACTACAGGACAGAATAAGTCCATGTAGTCTACTACTTAGAAATAGCTGTATTTCTGTATCAATACCCTCAGGAAGGGCCCTACTACAGGACAGAATAAGTCCATGTAGTCTACTACTTAGAAATAGCTGTATTTCTGTATCAATACTGATCCCCCTCCATCAGACAGGGCTCACCACAGGACAGAATAAGCCCATGTAGTCTACTAAGAAATAGCTGTATATCTACATCAATATGGTTCCCCTCCCTCAGCAAGTATCCTACTATAGTATAAGACAAAGTAGTCTACTACTAAAAATTGCTGTATTTCTAAATCATTTCTGGTTGGTTGTTAATTTAAGACTAGATTTTTGTTGTGTCACATTTGAATACAGGTCTTGCTTTGTATTCGTGAGTTTCAAACTGTTCTGTAATTTTTCTAGAGTTATTTCCCTTACATCAGGCCAATTCTTTTAAATTGAACTGTAGAAAAAAAAATTGGAACATAGAATATAACCTTTTTTCATTATTATTCAAGTCTTCTAAACATTTAGTTAGAATTGTTGAAGTAGCTATTGGATACATCTATTCATGTACAGAATGACCCCATGCACACATTCAGAAATTGTTTATTATATGGGATCTTGCTCATTATTCATATACCACTCCTTCCATGACAAAAGTTCAGTTCAGATATATACCAATGTTACCCTACAGGCATGTGTCTCTTTTGTGTTACAGGTTATATTTGATATTGCAGTAAAGATATATACCAATGTTACCCTTACAGGCATGTGTCTCTTTTGTGTTACAGGTTATATTTGATATTGCAGTAAAGATATATACCAATGTTACCCTTACAGACATGTGTCTCTTTTGTGTCACAGGTTATATTTGATAATGCAGTAAAGATATATACCAATGTTACCTTCACAGACATTTATCTCTTTTGTGTTACAGGTTATATTTGATATTGCAGTAAAGATATATACCAATGTTACCCTTACAGGCATGTGTCTCTTTTCTGTTACAGGTTATATTTGATATTACAGTAAAGATATATACCAATGTTACCCTTACAGACATGTGTCTCTTTTCTGTTACAGGTTATATTTGATATTTCAGTAAAGATATATACCAATGTTACCCTACAGGCATGTGTCTCTTTTGTGTTACAGGTTATGTTTGATAATGCAGTAAAGATATATACCAATGTTACCCTTACAGGCATGTGTCTCTTTTCTGTTACAGGTTATATTTGATATTACAGTAAAGATATATACCAATGTTACCCTTACAGACATGTGTCTCTTTTCTGTTACAGGTTATATTTGATATTGCAGTAAAGATATATACCAATGTTACCCTACAGGCATGTGTCTCTTTTGTGTTACAGGTTATATTTGATATTGCAGTAAAGATATATACCAATGTTACCCTTACAGACATGTGTCTCTTTTCTGTTACAGGTTATATTTGATATTGCAGTAAAGATATATACCAATGTTACCCTACAGGCATGTGTCTCTTTTGTGTTACAGGTTATATTTGATATTGCAGTAAAGATATATACCAATGTTACCCTACAGACATGTGTCTCTTTTGTGTTACAGGTTATATTTTGATATTGCAGTAAAGATATATACCAATGTTACCCTTACAGACATGTGTCTCTTTTGTGTCACAGGTTATATTTGATAATGCAGTAAAGATATATACCAATGTTACCCTACAGGCATGTGTCTCTTTTGTGTCACAGGTTATATTTGATATTGCAGTAAAGATATATACCAATGTTACCCTTACAGGCATGTGTCTCTTTTCTGTTACAGGTTATATTTGATATTACAGTAAAGATATATACCAATGTTACCCTACAGGCATGTGTCTCTTTTCTGTTACAGGTTATATTTGATATTGCAGTAAAGATATATACCAATGTTACCCTACAGACATGTGTCTCTTTTGTGTTACAGGTTATATTTTGATATTGCAGTAAAGATATATACCAATGTTACCCTTACAGACATGTGTCTCTTTTGTGTCACAGGTTATATTTGATAATGCAGTAAAGATATATACCAATGTTACCCTACAGGCATGTGTCTCTTTTGTGTCACAGGTTATATTTGATATTGCAGCAAAGATATATACCAATGTTACCCTTACAGGCATGTGTCTCTTTTCTGTTACAGGTTATATTTGATATTACAGTAAAGATATATACCAATGTTACCCTACAGGCATGTGTCTCTTTTCTGTTACAGGTTATATTTGATAATGCAGTAAAGATATATACCAATGTTACCCTACAGGCATGTGTCTCTTTTGTGTCACAGGTTATATTTGATAATGCAGTAAAGATATATATCAATGTTACCTTTACAGACATGTTTCTCTTTTGTGTTACAGGTTATATTTGATATTGCAGTAAAGATATATACCAATGTTACCCTTACAGGCATGTGTTTCTTTTGTGTCACAGGTTATATTTGATAATGCAGTAAAGATATATACCAATGTTACCTTTACAGGCATGTGTCTCTTTTGTGTTACAGGTTATATTTGATATTGCAGAAAAGATATATACCAATGTTACCCCTACAGGCATGTGTCTCTTTTGTGTCACAGGTTATATTTGATAATGCAGTTAAGATATATACCAATGTTACCTTTACAGGCATGTGTCTCTTTTCTGTTACAGGTTATATTTGATATTGCAGTAAAGATATATACCAATGTTACCCTTACAGACATGTGTCTCTTTTGTGTTACAGGTTATATTTGATATTGCAGTAAAGATATATATATATACCAATGTTACCTTTACAGGCATGTGTCTCTTTTGTGTCACAGGTTATATTTGATATTGCAGTAAAGATACTGTCTATTCATTTATTTTTTAGTATATATATTTCATGGATTGTCATTGAGGAAAAACTGGGTATTCATAGTAATTAGATTTCATTAATTTGATTAAGGTTGCATACAAGTCTATAGAAAATTGAAACTTCATTGAACATTTAAATTTGATATATACTGATGCTATTTTATATTTCAGTACAGATATATACTGATGCTAACTGCAGGGACAGGCATTGCTCCTATGTCTCAGGTTACATTTTATATTTCAGTACAGATATATACTGATGCTAACAGCAGGTACAGGCATTGCTCCTATGTCTCAGGTTACATTTTATATTTCAGTACAGATATATACTGATGCTAGCAGCAGGTACAGGCATTGCTCCTATGTCTCAGGTTACATTTTATATTTCAGTACAGATATATACTGATGCTAGCAGCAGGTACAGGCATTGCTCCTATGTCTCAGGTTACATTTTATATTTCAGTACAGATATATACTGATGCTAGCTGCAGGGACAGGCATTGCTCCTATGTCTCAGGTTACATTTTATATTTCAGTACAGATATATACTGATGCTAGCAGCAGGTACAGGCATTGCTCCTATGTCCCAGGTTGTACAAGGTATACTGAACAACGAAGAAGATGAGACATTTATACACCTTCTCTATGGCTGTCACACATATAAAGATATATTGATGAAGAAGGAATTAGATGAGTGGGCAGGCTACTGGAATTTCTCTGTCACATATGCTTTAAGCCAGGTTAGTTTTATTTCTGTCCGATAAAATGACCCTAGGCCTTTTAACTATTTTGATTTGGGTGTCACTGAGTTTTTTGTAAACCAAATTTAAGGCTAAGGCATGTTTGGCATACATAATTATAAACTTGGTATCTTAGATGAGTTTTTTATGACACTTAAATGTACTTATATAATTCTTTGTTTTACACTCAGTATTCGCTTTAAGGGGTAATAATTATGGAAAGGAATATCTGCCATAATTATACATTTCTTAATTTGTAAAAAGCAATTTCCTATTTTGTAAAATGCAATTTCTTAATTTGTAAAATGTAATATCTTAATTTGTAACATGTATTTTTTTTCCATCCATTACATGAATTTCTACATATCTTGATTTGTGAAATGTAGCTTCATAATGTGTAAATGGTAAAAGTATGAGTTGGTAAATATTGGGAACGAGTGGGTTGAGTACGAGTTGGCAAAGGTACGAGTTGTTGTGTACCCGGAACAGCGACCTAGTGCAGAATATTGTGGAACTATTTCATTCTTGATTTGTAACTTGTAGTTTTTTTTGGAGAAAATTTTTTTTAATGAAAATTCTCATCGGCTGTCTACGGTAACACTTACATTGTTTCATTTTCCATAAATGTGACTCAAACCAACAATTTAAATTTCACAGATAGAGTTTTAATATATTTCGATTATAAATATATATATTTTCGTCCTATACAAACATTCACTAATCTAGGAATGTAGAAATTCATGTAACAGATGGAAAAAATACATGTTATGAATTAAGAAATTACATTTTACAAATTAAGAAATGTATAATTATGGCAGATATTCCCTTCCATAAATAATAAGGTCCATATCTGGGCAAAGCTTTAGCTCATAGGACAGGGTTTGGTATTATTCAACCTAATTTTTCACTGAAGTTTGAACTTTTAGTTCCAGATATCTATTTATGTCTAATTAGAACATGAGGTAATGTGAAAAACACTGGGTTTACAATCAATTAAGTTTTTAGACCTGCAAATACAGAGCACATGCAAGTACAACTAAATAATTAACCATGAAGTTTCTCTAGCTTTATGAACAACACCTCTTGTGTAATTATTTATTTGTAACTATTTCCAACTGAAAAATGTATACATGTCAATATATACCATTTTTGTCTCGCCTTGACGTAGTAAAAAAACTAGACATGTTGTTTCCAGCCGTGGCGGCATCAACAATGTATTAGTTAGTGATTAGGTCTAGTTTATGGTGAACCACTAGTGGTAGGTCAATGATATTTGGTATGCAGTTGTATAAGCATTGCACATCTCATTTCCATGGAGATTATGTGGCCCTGCCCCCTCAGTCATGGTCTATTGACTTTGAAACTTTGGCTTAGATTATATGTATTAATTTGTGATTAGGTCAGTTTATGGGGAACTACTAGTGGTAGGTCAATGATATTTGGTATGCAGTTGTATAAGCATTAGCACATCTCATTTCCATGGAGAATATTTGGTCCTTACCCCTCAGTCATGGTCTATTGACTTTGAAACTTTTGCTTAGTTTACATGTATTAGTTTGTGATTAGGTCATTTTTGGATTAACCACCTATGTTAAGTCAATGATATTTAGTATGCAAATATATTGGCATTTGAAAGTCTCATTCCATTGAGATTATATAGCCCCACACCCTCAGCATGGTTCATTGACTTTGAAACTTTTGCAGTTTGCAAGTTCATGTTTGTGTTTAGGTTTGTTTAAATGGAAAGACTTATGATAAGTCAATGGTATTTGGTATGCAGTTGTATTAGTATTGGCACATCTCATTTTCATGGAGATTGTTTAGCCCTGTACCTTCAGTCATGGTTCATTGACTTTAATTATTTGCATAACTAACATGTTAAAGTTTTGCTATTTTAATTTGAACATTTGCATTATCAAAATAACAAAAAATGCGAGACATATCTGTGTTAACAGTTTATGTAATTAAAAAAACAAATTATTTGATTTTCAGATATGATGATTTTAAGCCAATTTAAGAACGTTTTCTACATGCTTTCTACACAAATGAATAATCCAATTTTTGCAAAATCTCCCATGAATATTCACTATATTTGAAATTTTGCACATACATAGCACTTATTTTTACACTCAAATGACCTCACTTCGTAATACTTCCAATTAGCACACCTTCTTCTTTATATTTCAGGAACAGGGGAAGAATTATCAATATGGAGATAAAGTTTGTGAGAGAAGAATTGATGAGACTTCGATACAACAGGAAATCAGTGGTAAAACTATGGATAAGTTCATGATTCTAATTTGTGGAACTAGGTCATTTGATGAGGATATAATGAAATGCTGTGAAAATCTAGGATTTAATCAAAAACAGATATTTAAATTTTAAATAATATGCTTACCTAAGAAAACTGTTCACTGGTTTCATATGTCTACAAGAAATTTAGATTCTCAAGGGAGACAACTCATCATAAGTGATGTCAATTATATTTCTATTCGAAAATGTGATTACCAATTTTTCAGGGGAAATATTTTATGAACTAGACTATTGACCAGTCTTTCATTTCATCTTTCTGAGACTGTCAGGTCAACCAGTGTGTACTTTTCATTAAAGAACAAATCAGATTCTTCATGTTGATATGATTTATAGGAGAAAAACAAATGAACAGATTGACTTTAAACAAGTTTTGACGATACAAAGTTGTTTATCCGAACAAAATATCAGTCTTTGCCCTTACTTTGAATCCATTTGCTGAATTGTATTAATGGTATTAATGAAGGTAGAAATTTTATTCAGTTTGCAAACTTCTGTATGTAATCCGTTTTTTTTCCTTATAATGAAACACTTTCAATAACTATCAATCAGAAATAAATGACTGCAAAGATTATGTAGAGTTATTTCCCCTATTCCATAAGACTATACTTATGGAATTTGTAATACTAACAAACTAGAAAAATTGCAACTTGAATCTGCAAGAATTGTAACTGGCTTACCAATATTCACAAATAAAAATAATATTTACAAAGAAATTGGATGGGAATCTCTTCAGGACTATCGCAGAAGAAGAAAACTGCAAATGTTATATAGAGCGTATGGCAGAAACGGCCCTATTTATCTTTGTGATTTTATTCCACCATAGATACAAAGTACAACTTCATATCCAAGCAATGGTGACCATACTATGTTACCTATTTGTAGGCTTTTGAAAAGTAGTGACTCATTTATTTCATCAACTATTAAGCAATGGAATAAATAATACATATCTGCACCAAAAACAGAAATGTTTTCAAAATTTAACAATAGATTAAAAAAGGAGTAGGAAATAAAACTGTGCCTAGTTACTTTGTCTTTGGTCCACTCCACATAAACACACACACGCACACACAGAGAGAGAGAGAGAGAGAGAGAGAGAGAGAGAGAGAGAGAGAGACACACACAGGCATACATATATGTGCATATATTTTTTCTCTTCCTTTTCTTCCTAGTTTTCCCTTTTCTATATTGTTTGTTAATATGTCTTTTAAATAACAGATGTCTGATAAGAATTATGTAATAATAAATTTCGTGTTTGCATGTTATGAAATATCATTGATTAATATTGTATTTTAGGAGAAGAAGATCTTAGTTGGACTAACTTGTGTCTAATCCTTTTTGTGATATTTTGAAAATAAAATATGTTTAAATTTAATCAAAGTATATTTATGGTCAAGTTACAGTAAATGGATCATGTCACAAATTTAAAGATAATTTTGCCAACAACTGCAGCTAATGTGCAGTATGTTAAGCTTAGAAATGAAATTTTTTTTCTTTTTCTTATGTTGAAAAGTTGAAAAATTATGTAATGAATTCTCTCAAAATAGATGTACATTTTTCTAGGAACCATGTAGAAAGTGATCTTAAAATTGGCTTTATATAATCAAATCTAAAAAAAAAAAAACAATAAAGAGATTTGTTCCTAAAATTGATATAGTGTTGCTGCCTAAATATCTGTTAACAAAAGGTAATCATAGGGACACCAACTTTGTTTTTGATGCTTCAACCAGTCTGTAACCATGAAGGTAGTGAAAAGCTAAACAAAACAACAGTGTTTCTGGTTTCACAATGTGAATGGCTTATTTCTATGTTGTTTTTTTGGTTTTTTGTCTCGCCTTGACGGAGTCAAAAAGCGATACATAGGTATGCTGTTGTCGGTGACAACGGCGGCGGCATCAACAATGTATTAGTTTGTGATTAGGTCTAGTTCATGGTGAACCACTAGTAGTAGGTCAATGATATTTGGTATGCAGTTGTATTAACATTGGCACATCTCATTACCATGGAGATTATTTGGCCCTGCCCCCTCAGTCAAGCTGTATTGACTTTGAAACTATGCTTAGTTAACATGTATTAGTTTGTGATTAGGTCAGTTTATGGGGAACCACTAGTAGTAGGTCAATGATATTTGGTATGCAGTTGTATAAGCATTGGCATATCTCATTTCCATGGAGATTATTTGGCCCCGCCCCCTCAGTCATGGTCTATTGACTTTGAAACTTTTGCTGAGTTTTCATGTAATAGTTTGTGATTAGGTCAGTTTAAGGGGAACCGTTAGTGGTAGGTCAATGATAATTGGTATGCAGTTCTATAAGCATTAGCACATCTTATTTCCATGGAGAATATTTGGTCCCTACCCCTCAGTCATGGTCAATTGACTTTGAAACTTTTGCTTAGTTTACATGTATTATTTTGTGATTAGGTCAGTTTAAGATGAACCACTAATGTTAAGTCAATGATATTTGGTATGCAAACGTATAGGCATTTGCAAGTTTCATTTCCATGGATATTATATAACCCCACCCCCTAATTATGGTTCACTGACTTTGAAACTTTTACATAGTTTACAAGTTAATGTTTGTGTTTAGGTATGTTTAAAGGGAACAACTTATGAAAAGTCAATGGTATTTGGTTTGCAGTTGTATTAGCATTGGCACATCTCATTTCCATGGAGATTGTTTAGCCCTGTACCTTCAGTCATGGTTCATTGACTTTGAATATTTGCATAACTTACATGTTAAAGTATTGCTATTTTAATTTCAACATTTGCATTATCAAAATAACAAATAGATGAGACATATCTCTGTGTTAACAGTTTATTTATCTATACAAATATTGAATAAAGAATTCTTATTCAATAATATCAAAGTATAACAGTTGAATAAATTTATTTTTTCTATTTTCAGTAAGAGGTCATAGACGTAAAACTTATGCAAATTTGTAACGAAATCTTTGACATAGCCCATTTACTGTTCCTTGAACTGTCTGTATATATTTGTTCTTGGAGGAATATACTGTACTCTGAGTAACCTTTTCCTCTCATTTTAAAATATCCTGTGCATCATTCCCTATTTGTCTCAGTTGTGGTGAATGTCTTAGAAAGCAAGAAATACAACTTTTGGTTCCAGTAGTGCTAATGGCTGTGTTTACAATTTGAAAATAATTTCAATATCTTGTTCCAACCTTCACATACGATGAAAAAAAATCTATAGAGGTAGTTGTTTATTTTAAGACATTGCCAGCCATTTGCATGACCTTTAAAATCTCATTTCTGTTCTGCTAGGTAGTTAGATATAAGAAGATGTGGTATGAGTGACAATGAGATAACTCTCCATCCAAGTCACAATTTGTAAAAGCAAACCATTATAGGTCAAAGTACGGCCTTCAACACGGAGCCTTGGCTCACACCGAACAGCAAGCTATAAAGGGCCCCAAAAATGACTAGTGTAAAACCATTCACACAGGGTCAGGTTAAGATTTTAGGATCAAGTTATTCCCTCATTTACCACACATAAAAGGTCAACAGTTATTTATCCCTAAAATAAAAAAATAGCATTTGAAGAAATAAGTTTGATATTGCATTTTACTGATAAATGGACTTACTTTTTAAAAACAATATTACACTTTTACACTGACAGCAGCAATTGTGGGCAAGACAAAGGGTTCCATGTAACCCTTTATAAGTTTTTTTTTTGCCAAGAATGTGAAACATATATAGGGATGCTCCATAAACTATTTATAGAAAGCTATTAAAGAAGGTAGAATACCTGCATACTTCTAACCTTGTATACAGATGCCTTTTGTACTGAAATTTCTGTCCATTGTCCTTGACCTCATTTTCATGGTAACAGATGGTTAAGGTACTGCTTAAAAATCTATAGTTATTTTTTATCGTATGATATGAATTTCTCACTTGGTACGCGTCATATGATAAATATATAGTATATGAGATCACTGCAAGATCAATATGTCTGTCAAATAGGGTTCACCTGACCTACTTTTTATTTATCAGTGATCAAGATTAACATTTGTGGTCAAGTCATAATCTCAGATATTATAAGTAATTAGTCAACATGATTGCCAATGAGACAACTCTCCACCAGAGACCAATAACTTGGATGTAAGAAACTATAGGTCACCATACAGCCTTCAACAATGAGAAAAACCTGTATCCAATAGTTAGCTATAAAATTCCCTGACATGACAAAATATGAAGTAATTTAAACAAGAAAAACAACAGTCTGATTAATGCTAAAACACAAAACAAACATGGCATACAGCAACCAATGACTACCACTGAATGATAGGCAAATAAAGAATGTAGTGGGATGAAACTTGTTATGAAGATTATTCTTCCCCCCTTTCAGTCATGGTCTATTGACTTTGAAACATTTGCTTAGTTTACATGTTTTAGTTTGTGATTAGGCCATGTTTAGGGTAACCATAAGTGAAAGATTATATGGCTCCCCCCCTCAGTCATGGTCTATTGACTTTGAATGTTTTGCATAGTTTACATGTTAAATTTTGTGATTAGGTCAGTTTAAGATGAACCACTAATGTTAAGTCAATGATATTTGGTATACAGATGTATTGGCATTTGCAAGTCTCATTTCAATGAAGATTATATGGCCCCACCCCCTCATCATTGATCATTGTCTTTGAAACTTTTACATAGTTTACAAGTTAAAGTTTGTGTTAGTTTAAAAGGAACCACTTATGACAAGTCAGTGGTATTTGGTATGCAGTTTTATTAGCATTGGCATTTCTTATTTCCATGGAGATTATTTGGCTTACACCTTCAGTCATGGTTCATTTACTTTGAATGATTTGAATTGTTTACATGGTTAAATGTTGCCATTTTGATTTCAACATTTGTGTTATACTATCAAAATAACAAAACGTGAGACATATCTCTATGTCAACAGTTTATTCCAAGAATAAAGTATCAATCAACTCACATCCTGCTGATGTAGTGTCAAGACTTCATAAACAGTCTGAGAAAAGCTTGACCTTGTGCAATGCCAAAATAAAAGTATGAACAGGATGTTGGACCATATAAGTGTTCATAACTATACACTAATACATACTGCAAATTCAGAAATTATTGCATACATTTATAATTGCGATATTTGAAGAACAGACGAAAATGCGAGATTAATAATTGCGATTTCAGGAAAAGCTGCATACAGATCTATGTATTAGATATCAGAAAGCGAATTCTTATTATTGCGATACTCACCCAGTCGCATTATTCGCATTAATAAAAACCTCGCAATAATTTCTGAATTTACAGTAGTTAGTTATGTTCTTAAATTTGATCTCATATTTATACTTCATTGGTCAACGCTGAATTTGCATATCTCGGATATTATATTTATATATTTGGCTAATGGAATAATTGCCATCTGGCATGGTTCATCTGACCTTGACCTCATTTAAATGGCTCATTGGTCAACGTTTAGTTTTTGTTGTAAGGTCCTATTCTCAGATACTTACAGGTTTAACTACATTTAGTGTATGGAATGATTGTTAGTTGTACAAGTTAGTCTGGCAGAGTTAGCCACATTTTTGCATCTGTCCAATTTCACGAACCTCCAGCCTTTGTTAGTCTTGTGTGTTTTTTGAATTTTGGTTCATTTGTATGTTTTGGAGTTTAATGTTGCCTCCATTTAGCTGAACTAGTATATATTATTGTTTAGGGGGCAGCTGAAGCCCACCACGGATGTGGGATTTTCTCACTGTATTGAAGACCTATTAGTGGCCTTTGGCTGTTTTCTGCTCTTGGGTTGGGTTGTTGTATCTTTGACACATTCCCTGTTTCCATTCTTCATTCTATTAATCTAACCTTGACCTCATTTCATGGTTCATTGGTCAACAATAATTGTTTGTATTTAAATCTTGTAAATAAAGTTTAATTGATTACAACAAGGAATTAATTGAATCTGGAATAATTTTGAATTCTGGAAAACTGATTAGAAATGTATGATGAAAACTAACCCAACTAAATGGGGTTAGCCATGCACGCATGGCTAAGGTTAATTTTACTTTCACTATCATTTCAGTATGAACTAACTAACACCCCTTAGCCATGCGTGCATGGCTAACCCTATTTAGTTGGGTTAGTTTTCATCATAAATTTCTGATCAATTTTCCAGAATTCAAAATTATTCCAGATTCAAATAATTCCTTGTTTTACCATCTTAGTGTTTCGATGGTTTTCTGTGGTGTTAGTTTCTTGTCATATTTACCCCACATTGAAATATTTTTCATATCTATTTAAAATCTTATCAAAGATACCAGAATAAAAATGTAGAATTCCAGATGTTTGTGAATGAATAAGGGAATTTGGTGACACAAGAATTATCCACTAAGAAACATAG